TTACTTGTAATTCAAACTATTCTCGAACTTACTACTTTCAGTAATGTTAGTCCCGCTATATGCACAAGCCCATGGCACCGCAGCCCACTAGTACTTAGTCTATCATTCGTCCTATCACATCGTGACCAAGCATCCAGATACGAGCATACATACGTTGCTCTGCATGATTGAATTAAAGTAAATCTCACGAGTCATGTTAATTACCTTAATCCATATTCATTATTCACACTGGGAAACCATGAATCAGCCAAATTCCCAGCCCTCATTCTAATGACAATTGTTTCCTACTAAATCCCGATCGACTAGTGATTAGCCGAGAAGACATTCAATGAAAGCAATGCACTTCATGAACTCTTTCTTTCATATGACGGCAAGTTTTGCCGTCTATTTATTCTCTCCTGATCCCCTCACGAGAAAAGAACACCTCCCAAGACCGTTCGTTACTCTCCCCAAGACTGCTTATGATTGATTGGGTTATGGAAGAGTTGGGGGTGTGCATGCATCTACCTAATAAGCAGGAAACTAAGTACTAACCTCACTGTCAAGTCAAGTCTGAGTCGGAATAACCCCTCCTGCGGCTTATGATGAACGTTGTTGCCTTTCCTTTTTCGAACTGTGTGACACTCACTCACTACTTGAGTGTACGTACATAAGACGAATTAGTTAGTTCATGGTAGTAGAGAGATACACGGCCAATTTGGAGTGATGATTATGCTTGCATGATTTTGCTACTTGTAGTATTAAATACTATGCAGATGAGAAAGAGGTGGGTTAATTACTTAGTAAGTACTAATTGAGTAAATTGTATCTCAAGTGTGTTTACTATAAGGTAGGTAGGTAGTAGTGTTGTTACTACTTTACTCTGACCTACATTATCTCTCTGATTACTATTCATCAACAATGGTATAATGCCAGTATTAATAAATGCACTAACTACTTCATCATAGCTAGTTCGCATATATGCAAGTATATATGTACAGGACTCCAGCAATGCAACAGCCAACTCCACGCTAAAACACAATCCAAAAGTATAGGGTATCATGGCAAATCTCCTCCCGTAGAGATAGTCAAAACAACAATGGTATAGTAGAAAGAAAGATGAAAAGAAAAAGGGCTAATTAGCCCGCTCTGCACGCTCTCCCCCCTGCTCTGGCCATGGCGCCAATTCATGCATCAATCCCCCCGACGTCTGTTTCGTGTGGTCGGCTAGCTGCACCGTCGGCAACGGCTCCGACACTACGCTGCGCCGGCGCGAGAGGACCCCACCCACCGATGGGTTCTCCTTTTCGCGCGCCATCACGTTGGCTTTAATGCGACTGCGCCGGCGGGGGTGCCGCAGGTGCTCGTTTGGTACTGGGTCCACTTGCTTCTTGGCTGCCGGTACTATGTTGAGGTAGATGGGGAAGATGGCGCCCGCGCTGAACAGCGCCACCAGCACGCAGTAGGAATAGCGGATCCCGCCTGCCAGCTCGGCAGCGTACTGCGCGAACGGGAAGAAGGCACCGCCGCTGATGGCCACTGTGAGCAGTACCGTCGCAGTCTTGGTGTGTCGGCCGGTGCCGCGGAGGGAGATGGCGAAGATGATGCTGAATGCGCCGCTCTCGAACAGGTACACCATAATAGCCATGGCCTCGGCGGCCCGCCCAGTCATTTTCATGCACAGGATGGAAAAGAGAATCATGCCGATATAAGAGAGCATAAGTATCCAGCGGGGTTTAAGGAACCATTGCAAAAAGGCGGCGAGAAAGCGGCCGATCGCGAACACCGTGTGCGCGACCGTGAGCTGTTCAAAGGGACTTAGATAGGACAGCGGGTGCACGGCGCGGACGTAGCTGTCGAAGCTCATCGATATCACTTCTTGGCCGGCACAGTAGAAAAACTGAGACCACACGCCGAGCCCCAGCGTCAGCCAGACCACGGGGACGCCAGCGACAGTGGCCCGGTTGTCGGCGCGGCGGCGGTTAGCCAATTCCTCAAGATCCTCATCCGATGCCTCTGGAATAGGCAGGTAATAGAAAGCGAGAGCGAGGAGCACATCGAACAGTGCGATGCCCAAGTACGTCCACTGCACATCAACTAGTGTGCTCACGTCGGTTACAGCTTTGAAAAGAACCTTCTTGGCCAGGAGCTGCGACACGACGCTGCCAACCGCCTGCACACCCTGCGAGATGTTCAGCCGAATCTCCGAATTTTCGAGCGGTCCGCATAGCGCAATGAACGGATTGGCAGCCGTCTCCAGCACCGCCAGTCCACTGCCCACTATGAAATTGGATACGATGAAACCAGGATATGATGTTAGCACGGCTGACGGCCAGAAGACCAGAGTGCCGCAGGCGTAGATGCACAGCCCGGTGATGAAGGTGCACTTGAACCCCCAGCGCTTCAACACAACGCCTCCCACAAACGTCGGCGCCACCAGATATCCCCCAAAGTATACCGCATGGAGACCAAACGATTGCCAGATGTCCAGACGCAGAATATCCTGGATCTGCTCATTCAGGATAGCCAGCAAGCCGTAGGCGAATCCCCAGAGGAAGAACAATATGGTGGTCAGCGCGATCGGCGCGATGGACTCCTTGTTGCTCAGCTTCAACATGTTGGCCGGCTTCTTCATATTGACAAAATCGAAGAAGGTGATGCTGGGAGGATACGACGTGGTGGTGGTGACGGTGTTCGTTCGGTTCTCAACATCCGCAGGCGCCTCGGGCGCGGTGGTCAACATATCGGCCAGATCCATCCGGGCCGAAGCAGCCTGACTGCTGTGGCTCTCCGAATGCGACGGCTTATTGTCCTGGCTGGCGGACTGCTGTGAGCGCGACGCGCGCCGGGCAGTAGGAGGCCCGGTGATGGTCGGGAGCTCGGGGGGAGGATCGGGGGCGGGCAGGGGAAGGTCTGTGGCCTGGGAGCTCCCGTCAGTGTCACGGATCAGCTTCGGGATGAGTCGCGCGACGAGCGGCTTGAGACTGGGCACACAGGCACAGATGACGGAAACGTTGACTTCGATGACGGACCACATGAATGAAAACGCCCCGTACCCTGGGGCGATCAGCAGGAAATAGGGAGAAAGAAAGGACAGGGGACGTACAGCTGAGGTCATCACCCGGAGTATCCTGCAGATGGACTTGTTTCAACGCGATCTGACGTGAGGTGGCCGCATCTTGAATGTAGGCAATGCGGATGACGTCGACGACGGCGACAAAGAATCCAAAACTGAAGGTGATGACGAGGATGATCTTTTGTTTGCGCGGCAGTCGCATTTGCGTAAGAATGGGATTGGGCAGGAAGAGAATGGCCAGATCGGTCACAATGTTGACCGGCGACGAGGACAAGTATAGAGTCAGGATGTCGATACACTTGGCACCCTCGGGCAAGGGATAGGAAACGGCGGCGCTGACGGGACGGCATTGGAAGACATTGACGAGGGTCAGGGCGAGACCGGCGGCATTGACAACGATAAGGGTAACGTAGTTGGCCAAGCGAAAGACCTTCTCGCCTTGGGTGAGGGTTAGGTAGAAGACCAGAATGGATGATTTGACGGCCATGAGGGCCGGGTTCTGGGGCAGTCAGAGGGGAGCGATGGCGGAGGAAGGAGTCCCGGGCGACTCACGTAGAGGACGGTGAAGGCATAGTCGGCGCGATTGAGGCCAGCGCGTTGGTCCTCGCGAATATCGGAATCGTGCAGACCCAGACCTTTGTGGGTGGCATAGAAGAGGGAGAAGGAGAAGCCGAAGTCGAGGACCTGCGGGAAGATCGGAAAATGAGGAGCTGACTCGAGGGACGAGAGAGAGGACGGGGGAAAGAAATGAATAGACGTACCCAGGCCAGCAGCATCAAATAGTCATGGAGGGCGACCTTCTGGACAATAAAAATACGGGAGATAAAGCGCAGGGCCACGAAGACAGTTGCGATGACGAAGAAGACGATGGAGACGGTGAGAACCTCGGGCCGTTGGTCTTGCATGACGAAGTTGGGGCGACAAGGGCGAAGAGGGAAGACGAGGGGGGACAGGGAGGTCGGGCCATGATCGGATCAAAGCATGATCTTGAAGATGATATATAGGGAAATAAAAGAGGGAGAGGTTATAGTGGGGAGAGAGAGATTGTGTGAGTGAAATGGTGGAAAAGAAATGAGGTGAAGAAAGGGAAAAGTGGATGCAGAAATTGAGGGGAAGCGGAGACAGAAGAAAGAAGAGAGTCAAGTCAAGCCTGGAAGGTTAAAACTAAAAAATACTAATACTAATACTAATACTAACAAAGTCCCAGTGGTTTTTTTCCTTTGTGTGCGTGGGTCCCCCGGATTAGATAATACCATTATATTAATTAGTTGGTGATGATATTATGGTTTGATGTTGTTCAAAGGATCCAGGAATACGGTTTATTGGGACGATCCAAATAGCAAAGCCGACGATCGGCGGCTCCTCGCGTGTTGCGCCAAGATTGAAGCTGTTCGCAGCCATTCTTGGATGGTCTTGGAGATGTGCTGGACATTCCAGTCCTTCAGCCAGCCGGCCTTGAATGCAGGCTAAATTGCATAGTGGTCGTCCATCTTGCATGGAGTATGCAGAAATGCCCGTTAATAATTAGATAGTGAGCAAAAGAATATGAAAGGGGTATCAACAGTATACCACCAATCAATTGGGTATACTGCAGGGGACGGGAGATGCATGGGATAATAACTATCCGTTTAACTTACTTCTTCTTTCCCACTATTTCTTCAACTATTCATTATCCCCGACCTTCCCAACCCTAACTGCCCAATATTGCTACTGATATGGCTGCATCGCATCTGCATCTGCCAAGTACCTTAAATAACTTTGAGTATCATCCACCAACTCAATTCTGAGTACTTTCTGCTCTGCTGACTCCCGCCCAGCATCACATGAAGCCCTTCAAAATGTCCCAATTCGACGCCCGGCCATCGCCATGCCATAAAAACCCGACCACCACCAGCAGCAGCAGCAGCAGCAGCAGTCAGTCAGTCCCTCAATGCAGTATCTTCTCATGAAACCCGCCTTTCTGTTGGCCGTCCTAGCGACAGCCACCACAGCGCCAACCTGGACCCAGATCATCTGGCACGACATTCAAGCTGCGACCAGCTGCACTGCCTGCGAGGTGACTGACGGACTGTTCATCCAGATTGCTATGGATCAGGCTGATCTGCGCCCATAGACGCTGCTCAAATCACTCCAACGAGTATCTCAACTCGGTCCATCGACCCTCCAGACCATCCTCACCGAAGTATGCATTTTAAGCAAGGTAAAATAATGAATACTATACTACCGTCTCCACCTCGGACATTTCACTAATCTTATCCTCCCAGATCCTCGACGCCGACTTCTGCACCGGACTCGTAGCCTCCCAAGTCCCCAGCGCATACTATGTGCTTCGTCAACTGTCCATTCCGTCAGACACCGCGCAAACCTTTTGTGCCAGCGTGTTGGATTTGTGTCCGTATCCGCCGATTCCTCCTATCAACCTGACCTTCCCTCCTCCACCATATTCTCCTATCACCACGACCACTACCACTCAAGATAATAAAAAAGATAACAATATAACCCTCCGAATCGCCCACATCACCGACACCCACGTCGACCTCCAATACACCCCCGGCACAAGCACCCACTGCCGCAAGCCCATCTGCTGCCGCCAATACCACGCCTACGATGCCCCAGGCCGGTCCAAAACCCCATGCTCAACCTGGGGGAGTCCGCACTGCGATCCGCCATTAAAACTACTAGACAACATGCTCTCCATACTACAATCACAAAAACCAAACCTAACCCTCTACACAGGCGACATCGTCCCCCACGACATCTGGAACACAAGCCAGCAATCCGTACTAGCTAACTTCAACGCGACCAACTCCGCCCTCCACACCCTACTAAACAACAACAACAACACCAACACCAACAACAACCCAATCTATTCCGCCATCGGAAACCACGACACCCACCCCGTAAACATCTTCCCAGGGAGTCTCAACATCCCAAAAGAACTAGTAGATGTAGAATGGACCTACACCGCACTAACCACCCACTGGAGAACACTCCAAAACAACCCTACTTTAATCACTACCAGATTCGGCGCATACGCAACAACATATACCCTCCCACCCACACACGAAGAAGACCCAACCCCAAACCCGAAAATAAAAATAATCTCCTACAACAGCAACCTCTACTACCGTCTCAACCTCCTCCTCTACACCTCCCCCATGCCAATTGACCCCATGGCCCAGTTCACATGGCTTATCAGCGAACTCCACACCGCGGAACAAGAGGGGGTTAAAGTCCTCCTGATAACGCATATCCCTATCTCGAGTAAAGAGACGTTACCTGCGTATGCTGATACCTTACGGAGGATACTCTATAGGTATAGGGATACGGTCGTGGGTGTGTTCTGTGGACATGGACATGTTGATACGTTTGGGGTGTTTTATCGTTCTCATTTGGCTAGGGGTATTTACTCTAGGAAAGGTAGTGGTAGTGATAGTGATAGTCATGAGAATCAGGGGTACCGGCAAGGGAAGATCCCTGTGGAGAACAACAACGAGGTGACAGTGGAGAAAGGGGAAGAAGTGATAGGCGTGGAGATGATGGCGCCGGCGATGACGCCTACGTCGGGGTATTCTGCTTCTAGGGTATATGACGTACAATTTAGTGATGACGGGTGGAAGGTATTGGATTTTGAGGAGTATATTGCGAGATACCCTCAGCATAGTCTTCAAGAGGATAGTGATGAGGATAGTAAGAACACCACCACCACCACCACCACCACCACCACCACTAATAGGGGAGAAGGGGAGCCGGTATGGGTTAGGTATTACTCTGCTATGGAAGCTTACGGGAAGTATGTCTATCCTGATGGGGCTGGTACCGGTACTAATGGCATTGGTGCTGGTGGCGGTGCTCACATTGGACCGCACTTCTGGGCGAAGCTGACGGATGTTATGGAGACGGATTGGAATGTGTTTAATGAGTATTGGGCGAGACGGACTAGGGGGTACGATGTCTTAGTTTGTGGGAGGGGGTGTCGGGAGAAGGAGATTTGTCGGCTGAGAGGACAGGATTGTCAGTCTAAAAGGGGGGATGACGGTACTAAGAATAAGGGTATGGGAATGGAAAGAAGCGCTCTGGCAAGTTGGCTAAGACAGGTTCAACAGTCTTGTTCTTCTGTTTCTTAATCATTCTAATCGTGATACATACACGTCAGTCATACTGCAGATAGATTCGTCCCCAGGACAATCTAAAGAATGTGTGTGTGTGCTAAGGTATAAACAAGAAATCAAAATCATCATATCTAAATCAGTCAATCAACGAGTGACAAGAAGGGTAAAATAATTCCGTTCCATCCCGGCCATCTACTCAATGTACCACTCCGCGCCCGTCAGGCGTCCCTCGGACTCGGTACCGAACTTCTTGAACAGCTTCTCCGACAGGTCGATCGACACATCATCACAACCCATGCACTTGTCCCAGACGGTGCCGTAGTCGGTCACACCGTTGTAGGTGATCTTCACGGTCTTGCCGCAGTCGCTGTCTTGCATGATGCCATGGGGAAGCGCAACCACCATATCGGTGTTGCCGTTGCTGGTGATGCCGCAGGATCCCAGTCCAGCCACGTAGTAGGTCAGATCACCCGTGCAAGGAGACCCGGAGGAGCAGCTACCGGAGTATCCACTGCTGCTGCCGCTGCTACCACTGCTGCCGCTGGAGCTGGAGGCCGAGGTAGTGGCCGCAGCGGGAACGGTGGTGGTGGTGGAGGGGGTCCAGGCGGGCTCTTGGCTGGTAGTGGAAGGAGTCCAGGCAGGCTCCCATTCACTGGTGGAGCTGGAGGTGGTGGGGGCTGGAGTCCAGGCGGGTTCCCACTCACTGGTGGAAGTCGAAGTGGTGGAGGATGCGGGCTCGGGGGTCCAAGCAGCGCCCCAAGCGGTGGAGGTGGAGGTAGTGAAGGAAGAGGGCTGGTAGTTGACGGATTGCTCAGGCTGGCTGTTGCCGGGCAGCTGGTATTGAGATTCGGGGGTAGGGCTAGCGGCAGCGGATTCGGTAGGGGCAGCGCCGTAGATGGTGGTGGTCACGTCGACAGTGGTCCAGACGACGGAGGTGACGGTCTGGTAAACAACTTCGGTTGAGCGCTTCTCAACAGGAGCAGCAGAGCCGAAGGCGGCAAAGAGAGTGCCAGCCAGGGCGAGAGACTTGGAAAGAGGGGCCATTGTAATGGATGTGAGTTGTTTGGTATAGAATTGTGGTAGTGGTTATTTGGTGAAGTGATTTGCTTTTGGTTGACAATGTAGGGTCACTGTTTTCTTTTGGAAGGATTGATGCTCTGGTCGACAGAGGAGTCTAAGGAATGCGTACTGCACAGCAGTATAGAGCAAAAAACCCAAGGAATGAGGGTGGAAAGAAGGAATGACCGAGCGTCAAGGAGAGGACGGACTGTGAGGTGGAAGAGGAGAGGGAAAGAAGCAGGCGAGAAACGAAGGAGGGAGAGAGAGAGTATTTGTATTGGAATTGGAGCCAGTGGTATGTATGTATGGATGGATGTATGGTGTGTATGGTACCATTTGGTATGGGGGGGTGAATCACCGTCGGGATCCACCGCACCAACAAGTAACAACACCAAAGAATCCATCTTCCTTACCCTCACTCTCTGTCTCTCAATCTCGCTCTCTCATGAATGAAGCCTAGACTCCACTTAGTCCAATTACTTTTTTGACCCCCCAGACCCACACTCTTTTCTTTCCTCCCCCCCACCGCCAACAGCTCGTGAACCCTCGATCTCCGCCAATGCCCGTTAAGCCCTTCACTGCCCGACCCTCACCGGTCTTCCCAGGGCAACCTCGTCCTCCATGGTTGGCAGTGGTCGGGCGCGGCCCGGAACCAGCACAGCATCCTCCTCGGTCTGATTGGGGAGCTCTCCCTCGTACCTGACGCAGCCATCTCATCTTACAGCTGTTACCTTGAAAGAAGCAAATAAAGAACACGCAAAAGAAAGTCAAAAAATACTCTACTTCCAGGCACACACCAATTTGGCAGGGTCTGATCGGAATCCTCGGGGTTAGGCCCAGTAGTTTGGCTGATTGGCGGTTCGCATTGACGCCAGTGTCTCACCAAGCCGTGCCTGGATGGCACAGACACCTCTCACTGGCTGAACTGGGGCCGGAGTGGGCAGTTGTTCTTCGGATTGACTTTTGAGTAGTCTGCTGGTGCGTTAGTTCAGCCACGCTCTACCGTTCCTTGCCTGCACTGACTTTTTGGTTGGGGAAATTGGGAGAAACCGCCTTTCAGCTGGAAGCGTGCGGTCATGTTGCCTGCAGGGCTCTCTTTTCCGCTTCCTTCAGGGGGATCAGCGTGGCAATCCTTGGGTCGTTCCGCCCAAAAGGAGGAAAATAGGCGGTGCCTGACCACTAAGCCACTCGACACGAGAATACTAAATGATGTTTTCCGAATACACAAAAAAAGTCGAACGAGACTAGGCTGGACTGGACTGAAACTACAACAATCAGGTGCCGTCATCTGTTCAGGTCCAGGTTCAGGTTTCACCGGGCCGAATGTTGATGTGGCGAACTCGGCGGGTCTTGGAGCCCATCAAAGGGAACACGGCCTATTGAAGACCAAGTTGACGTGTCGCACATCCAGGCACCGACCAGTCACATCCCGTCAGCAGCATCTCCCCTTCGCTTTGTACACAGTCCATATTTCGTGTAGTGGGAGGAAAAGAGGGGAACCATTCTTAGTGGTAGGGATGTTGCCCTGATCTGACTTTTTTGCCCTACCGGTGGGCTACTGCAGGACAATCCAGCCGCGTCCATTCGCAAAACGACTGTCTTATTCGGTTGTTTTGGTCTTTCTTTTCGCGCCGCTAATCTAATAGTGTGGTCTAGGCAGTCCAATCCTCGGGACGAACGCCACTGGTAGATGTGAAACACTCAATGGTGCTTTCGCACAATTAACAGTCAGATCCATCTGATGGATCTGAAATCTGAATATCAGGCGAGACGCCAAGCCAGCCAACCGGACTCTATCGCAGGGCTCCATCGTCCGTTTCATCCGTCACTCGCGTGGCTTGATCGTCCACCGAGTACTACGATGTATCTACTATCTAGACTGACTTATGATGTGTAGTGCTGATACTTTAGATTCTACCCCTCTATTCAGGCGCGTACAGAATATATTTACTGTACATTACATCATTAACAAAGATCAACATTGATTGAATGCAGCATTGATAAAATGAAGCGGAGGATATTTCCGCATTCCACCGATCATTTTTATCAAATTCTCCATTCCAATCACCATTCCGATCGTCCTACCCGAAGTATCTCACAGAGTATCTTACTCAGAAGTATGTCCGACCTCCATACTGTGTAAGTAAACATGCACATCCATACCACCACCACCACCAACAATTACATCGCAACAAAACCACCCCCAAATTAATCAATAAACACAACATACAACAAATCCTTACCATTGTCATCTAGACTAGATAGCATACAGAAATCTACTACGGAGTTCACGGAATGACAAACACCCCCAAACCACCTGAAACCAACACAACCTAGACACTACTACCAGATATAGCATAACCACCACCGAATACCACCTACTACTAATCCTTCAGTCTCATTCAATACACGGTCCAACCTGTCATCATTAGAGTTCCAACACCTACTACTACATAGGGAAAGTATCTCAGCTCAGCTCAACTTGCAGCCCCCAGATCCACCGCGATGGTCAAACACACTAGCCCCCAATGTTACTCAGCCTTGTTCGGCCTCGGTTAGGTGCAGGTACTCGTGGGGATAAATATGCTGCTAGTAAGCTAAACTAATGTTATGGTAGCTATGAAGGATGATGGAAAGGATGAGGATGAGAATAGTGTTGTTGGTAGGCGCAGGTACCCGTTCGTTAAGTTGTTGGATTTTCGGAGTTGGATGGATCATATAACCCATTCCTAGTAATAGCTACTAGTGAGGTAGGAGATATAGTAGTAGTTGAGGTAGTAATTGGGATACATTCCCACCTACTTCAGGTACATACAGTATACTTAGTAGGTAGTTGTACTCCCCAACCACATAGTATACACCCCCTCAATAGACATACAGTATGTAGGAACTGCGTCAGTCAAGATAAGAATTCGCCAATCTCCTACTCGTAACTTCACATGTATTCACTGGCAACAGGGGTATAGCCCCCAAAGATAAATGAATTGAATACCTGATTCTGAGGGTGTTGAATTGGCGCTTGCAGGGGTCTGCTACACTTGAGTAAGAGAACATCACTACGTTAACTGGTTGGTTACAAAGTAGCTAAGTTGGTACTGAAACGGCCCGATATGACTAAGATCTGACTGGAGACAAAACTGTCACAGATTCATCGTTCATGAAGTAGATCGTTAACAAGATTGTTACATAACGATAGAGTTAATCAATAGCTGAGCTACCTCAATAAGTAGCTAACTAGTAACTCACCAGTCAAACCATTAACCAGCACAATGAACTCCCAAACACCTGAGTAACTAAATACCCATCTAAAGATATGAATTCATTAACGACGTAGCTACCTAGGTAGCTAATAGGCAAAGAACGGAATAAGAAGAAGTCGAAGATGTCACCCACACCCACAGCCTTACCCTTACCCTTTCCATCTCCACCCATGGAACCGACAACTTCCGAATCAACCAGCAAATAAACTCATATCTGACATCCACCACATACCATCTATCTCTAGATAGTCCAGATAACCTTTCCCTCCCATGAACCTTCTAGACTCTACTCAACGTCATAGCAGAAAAGTCTATGATTCATCTCTACCTGTCAGGTGAAATATAAGATGATACCTACATAACCTGCGCTAACTATTCCATTAACTGTTCTACTACTACTTCAACAACGGAAAATTTGATTGTATTTGGAACTTGAGTGATATTCACGAGTTACTCGTATGTATATCCCATCATTTTTTCAATGAAGAAATGGATTAAAGATAACTGACCAATGAAAATAGGAAATTTAACAAAATGGACTCCATCAAGAAGAACCTTGAAAACGCCAAGAACAAGGGCCAGGATTACTATAACCAGATGATGGGACAGCAGCAGAGTATGTCAATTTCTTTTCTTTCAATCAACCATGGAGGGAAATCGGAGTAATGCTAACGGAGATACTCTGCTGGTATAGACTCCGATGCCTCCCAGTACGCCCAAGACGCCAAGAACAAGGCCAACGAGGGCATGGATAAGACCAAGCAGACCGCGAAGGACTATATGCCGAATCAGGCTGGGGACCATTAATTCATCCGTACAGTTGGTATAGGCTAATAGGCTAGCTACTAAGGAATGAATATAATATAATATAGTCAGATAAATCCTATACCGAAGAAAACCATAACAGTAAATACAGTCATTTCCCATAAACCATGCGCAAGAAGCAAAAAGTATCCATCAATCTCGTGATATAATTACAACCCTGACGCCAAGACAATCAATCAAACCGGACCAGATCAGACAAGGAAAGAACACGAGGTATGTGCTTAACCCTGGCACATAATGCATGCCTCCTTGTTCTCAATGCTGCACTGGAGCACCTGCTGCGAGTAGATGTCGTTCTCGCGCTCTTCGCTCTCCTGCTGGCTGTCCTCCTCCTGAGGGCCGTTCTCCTGAGCGGAGGCATCAGCAGCAAGAGCCCGAGGGCTGCCGTTGGTGGAGCCGTTGACACCGTTCTCGCTGTGTCCGTTGACCGGGGCCTGGCCACGGGGAACAGCAGAGTACGTGCTGGAGGCAGCGCCAACAGCCCGCTTCTTGTACGCGGCATTGGTGCGAGCCACGTTGGTGTCCTCGACCTTGAGCTGCTCCTGGTCGACGGTGAACTGAATGGGCGCAGAGGCGGCCATCGTGCGCAGGTAGTACATGCCCGTCTTCAGACCCATCTTCCAGCCGGCAAAGTGCATGCTGGTGATCTTGCCCATGGTGGGCTCCTTCAGGTGGATGTTGAGGGACTGAGACTGGTCAATGAACGCACCACGGTCCGCAGCCATCTGCAGGATCGTGCGCTGGGAGATCTCCCACACCGTCTTGTACAGCGCCTTGATGTCACTGGGGATGTTGGGAATGTTCTGGACGGAACCACCCTCGGCAATGATGCGGTTCTTCATGTTGTCCGACCACAGGCCGAGGTCGACCAGGTCCTTCAGCAGCCAGGGGTTAACCACCTGGAACTCACCAGCCAAGACACGGCGGGAGTAGATGTTGGAGGTGTAAGGCTCGAAGCACTCGTTGAAGCCCAAGATCTGACTGGTACTGGCAGTGGGCATGGGGGCGACCAGCAAGCTGTTGCGGACACCAGTCTGGGCGATCTTGGCCTTGAGGGAGTCCCAGTCCCAGAGGTCAGTGGGAGTGCGGTCCCACATGTCGTACTGGAGGATACCCTGGGAGACAGGAGATCCCTCGTAGGTCTCGTATGTTCCGAACTCCTTGGCGAGATCGGACGAGGCGGTCAAACCAGCGTGGTAGATGGTCTCGAAGATCTGGATGTTCAGCTGTCTGGCCTCGGCCGAGTCGAAGGGCAGGCGCAGAGCGAGGAAAGCATCAGCCAGACCGTTGACACCCAGAGCAATGGGACGGTGACGGAAGTTGGACTTCTTGGCCTCCGGGACGGGGTAGTAGTTGATGTCGATGATCTTGTTCAGGTTACGGACCAAGACCTGGACAACCTCGTGGAGCTTGCCAAAGTCATACTCGCCGCGAGCAGCGTCGACGAAAGTAGGCAGGGCAAGAGACGCAAGGTTGCAGACGGCGACCTCATCCGGAGCACTGTACTCAATGATCTCGGTGCAGAGGTTGGAGCTACGGATGGTTCCGAGGTTCTTCTGGTTGCTCTTCTTGTTGCAAGCATCCTTGTACAGCATGAAGGGGTTACCAGTCTCGGTCTGAGCCTCCAGAATAGCGTACCACAGCTTCTGGGCCTTGATGGTACGACGGCCACGGCCTTCCTTCTCATACCTACAATACTGTTAGCACGAGTCGACGATACACAAACCGACAAACTTACTTCTCGTAGAGAGCGTCGAACTCATCACCGTAGACATCAGCCAAGCCAGGGGCTTCGTTGGGGCAGAACAGAGTCCAGTCACCGTTCGCCTCAACACGCTTCATGAACAGATCCGGGGTCCACAGGGCGTAGAACAGATCACGGGCTCTGACCTCCTCCTTACCGTGGTTCTTACGGAGATCCAGGAACTCGAAGACATCCGAGTGCCAGGGCTCAAGGTAGATGGCAAAAGCACCGGGACGCTTGTTGCCACCCTGGTCGACGTATCTGGCAGTGTTGTTGAAGACACGAAGCATAGGAACAAGACCGTTGGAGGTACCGTTGGTACCACCAATGTAGGAGCCAGTAGAACGGATGCGGTGCACGTTCAGACCGATACCACCGGCCGTCTTAGAGATCATAGCGCAAGTCTTCAGAGTGTCGTAGATACCGTCAATGCTGTCCTCCTTCATGTCGACGAGGAAGCAAGAGGCGAGCTGGGGCTGGGGAGTACCAGCGTTGAACAGAGTCGGGGAGGCGTGAGTGAAGTACTTCTGAGACATCAAGTTGTAGGTCTCGATGGCCTTCTCGATGTCGCTGCCGTGGATACCAACGGCAACACGCATCAGCAGGTGCTGGGGACGCTCAGCCACCTTTCCGTTGATCCGCAACAGGTATGACCGCTCCAGGGTCTTGAATCCGAAGAAGTTGTAGTTGAAATCACGGTCGTACACAATAGCCGAGTTGAGCTCGTCGGCATGTTTCATAATTATTTCGTATGTCTCCTTTGATATCATTGGTGCAGGAGCATTGTTTTTGGGGTTGACATAGTGGTAGAGATCTGAGATGACCAAAGAGAACTGCTTCTTAGTCTGCTTGTGGAGGTTGGAAACGGCGATACGGGCAGCGAGAATGGCGTAATCAGGGTGTGTGACAGTCATGTATGCAGCAGTTTCGGCAGCCTGAAACGAAATATCAGCACTTGCTCAGTCAATTGTAGCGGCTGCAAACCTACCAGGTTATCGAGTTCAACGGTGGTGACACCCTGGTAGACACCAGAGATGACCTTCTGAGTAATGGCAGCGGCATCGACATGCTCAGGGTCCAGTCCGTAACACAGCCTCGACACACGAGCAGTGATCTTGTCGAACTGCACGCGTTCTTTGCGTCCGTCTGTATTCAAAGTTAGCACCGACTGTTGCAACGGTGGCAAGGTCCATTCCGCTCAATGGACGGGCATCCATTCCACCCAAAGCAGGGAATTTTGTGCAACTCGTACTGACCTCTCTTGTAGACAAACATTTCGGACAGTGAGGTTATAGACAACGAGAAAGAAACTAGAACAAAGGGTATATGGAAATAATATTAGGGTAGTAGAGAAAAGAAGGCTTAGGTATGTATAAGAGAGGATTGAGAGGAGAAATCGTCACAGAAAGAATGTCCTGAAGACAGGAGCTGAGGGGAGGATGAGAGATGAGAGGAAAGAGAAGACGGAGGGGCAGAAAGATGGGAGGAGATATTTGATGTCGCCGGGGCAAACGCGTTACGGTGGATATCCACGCGAATTTTCGTGTTTGGACTAAATGGGTTGCCCTTTGCATACGAGCCCGCTGACTGGTGCGCGGCCAATCTTTGTCCGGCTGGCGGGAACGCGCGACGAGCGCAGTCACGTGTAGTTTTTCTTTCAAGTTCACGCCACGTCCCTCAGCAACTGCCGGGCTTCTTACAAATCAGCTCCGAGCCTCGGACACCGTATATCCGTTTGCAGGATATGGTTTCCGCCGACCTTCGACTACGTACTATCATGATTCCCATGCAACCTAAGCCCCACTAGGATATATTACGTATGAGCTTTCCGCCTCCCAGCGGGTTTCGGAGAGCTGCCTACGGATGCCTACACCGGTGGAGAAGACGCGGTTAAAGTGACGCGGTCTGCGCCCAATATGTACTCAACATCATTGATGTCCAAGGGTCCAGAGCTTTGTCCGAGATAATATACGAAGCGGACTAACTGATTCTATAACGTCGCCGCAAATCCGACAAAAACAACAGCCGCAAACGCAGCAGCAGACGCGCCACGGTCAGCCGATCCCAATGAAATGGTCTGGTTAGGATGAGTGCTGGGACAAGCACTAGAGCTGGCATCGGGGACAGAGCTCAAAGTGGAGATGCCGGTTGAACTAGCTATGACGGAGCTAGGCTTGGTCGGGCTGAAAAGAGCGGTGGATGGGGATGCGATGCCGGACGACGCTGTTGGTAGGTATGCTGCATAAGTAGAGTCAAATGTCTCTCATCTTTGGCACAGCGTCATTCAAGTTCAAAACATACCAATTGTGTAGCCTGCATATGAGCAGGTGTCTTTTAACTGCTCCAGGACCAAGTGTCTCTCATCCCCGCAAAACTCCACGATCTTAGCCCAAACCTTGCCTACATTCGTCGCACAAATATCTTGGAGGTTATCAGAATTCGATTGAGACCTATACTGGGTTAGCAGGAGAGCAAAGTAAGTGCAGCTATCTCGCTGTCACAGTTATACCTCATGGCGGACACCAAACACGGCGGAGTCTGTGTAGCTACGCTGAGGCTCCCAAAGACCAGAAATGATACAAGGAAAGCGAAATGAGCGAACAACATGATGCTGTCAAGCTCTTGGAGCTCAAGCAGCAAGCATATGAGAATCGGGTATGAAAAAGACAACAAAAGAGCGTAATAACGAACGATTATCCAAGCATTGGCTGGATATAATGCAATTACCGTAAAGGAGAGACTGCTGAGAAGCTAGAATTATCTATGAAGAAGTGACTAAGGAGGATAAGAGTGACCAGCGTACTGATATAAAGGAGAGTGAGGCCAGACCACTCCGCCCCATGAGGCATCGACCCTGCCGATCCATCCTTCATTTCGCTGCCGGGAGTTGAAGTCTTGGCCAATGGCCCCGAAGACTCGGGTGGAGTCCGCCAGGGACCAGCTCGGCTAGCGCCCGGGCCTCACTCCTATCCTTCCTAGTGGACTTGAGGAATAAGTACTATGGATAGATTTGTAGTCATGAACAGTTACTCGGACTGTATCTGATGAGCATGTTCCTTCGGAGTGCCTCTCAAGAACCCCATTACTACGCTGATGCATCATCTTCACCATCTTCCACAGTAGGTAACTGACTGACCACCATACTCCGTAAAGCAATAGTCGCAACATCTGCAATATCAAGTGACCAATGATTATCACTCAAAGAGCACATACGAACTCACAATGACAACATCCTCACGTATATATTGAGTCCCAGGTAAGGAGTCGGCCGACTTCAAACAAGCTGCAGCGTCCAGAGGGAGGTTTAGTACGATCCTCAGGGATAACATAATCTAAAAGCATTTTGCACCTTTTCCTGAGAAGGATCATGTACCCTAAGTCCTCGAAAGCCCGTAATAATCATACGCAGCAAGTCTCAACAGCAATCTATTTCCAGTAGACATTTGACGACTGGGGAAGGGATCCTCTGCATCTGCCCTTGCGGCAAATGCAATACAAACTGTAACACAGCTTTGCAGCCTTGGTTTCGACATTCAATATGGCAATTAAGCAGGTAATGTTAAATTCCAGGGAAAGTGATGTGTATGTGCTGCATGGATGCTTGTAATTAAGTGCATAAGGGAAATTCCGCTTGATATGGTCAGGAAGTTGATTCCTGCTTTTCCAGCCACACATGAGCATATAGTGTGGCTTGAGCTTTTCGAAAGGTCATTATTGTTATTTCATATGATCTCTATTGTATACAGTCTATAGAAGTTTTAAAGGTTGAATTGATGAGCTATATGTCCATTATGCAGGCATATAGCAAGCGTAGTAGTGGGGTCCAGCTAGTCTAGTTTTCAGCTAGAGGGTGGTCATTGTTCTTGACTAAGTTTTGGTAGGGGCGAAAGGTGTATAGAGCAGATGTAGACATTCGAATCTGGGTCAGAATGCCGGTATCGATACTTTTCATATGGTTTAACAAGTGCTGTGATGCTCAATCTCAACGAGATAGTAAACTCTTTCTCCAATATTCATTCAATGCAAGTCTTCAATTGCTAATGATCTCTCCATGCATGTCGTATATCCAAGAATCTGGGTAATCATAAGTATAAGTCTAGTTAGTATCGAGTCTTGACCAACGTCTATAACTCTAGAATCTCCATCCACCCAAATAACCCACTCACGCATCCCACGCAGGATCAAACCGACTGACAACCAGCTCTTGCAAATCCAACCTATAATCAACAATCTCCTTCCCATTGACCAAATCATTCTCCAAGACCCTCTTCTCCGCCTCTGCCTCATCCCTCGCAATTCCAGCCTTAACATGCCTCCTGATTAACCTGTTCTTCGCAACCTCGAAATCCACGTCCACAAACCACAACTCATCCATCAACTCCGCCGCGCGATTCCACGGCTCCTTATTCAAACTCAAGTAATTCCCCTCGAAGAATATCACCCGACACGACGCCGGGATCAATATATCGTCATCAACTGGGTCCTTTACCGCATGATCAAAGCTCGGTGCATATAGACTCTGCGTCTCGGGCGTCACCTGCTCCCGCAGCGCCCGGACCAGCTGCAGAAACTTCTCCCCGTCAAAGGTAAATGCTGCGCCACGGCGCGCAATAGCATACGCCGGGTCGGGCATCTCGGATAGCTGTGCCCGAGTTAGATGGTAGCCGTCCATGGGCACGTTGGTAGCGACTTGTGGTGATTCGGGGTGTTGCGTTAGGTAGCGCCGGTTGATGCGGTTGGCCATCATGGTTGCCAGTTCTGTCTTGCCTGAGCCGGGTATCCCGCTGATGGCGATTAATAGGCGGGTGTCTTTGGGTGTGGATTGGAATTTGTCTGGGGAGACCTGGTTAGTTTTTGCGGGGGTGATGGGGTGCTGATTGCGGAGTATGCTGCCCTCCTTCGTCCGGGGAAGAGATGACTTACTCCAGATTTTGTCGACTAGTCGGCTCACTTGGTCGTCCATTATTGGTGTGTGTATTATTTATAAGGAGATAAATACGAGAAAAGGAATCTGGGGAGAAGGTATTATATGGGTTCGAGGACAGAGATCCGTGGTCCCGTGCATGCAAAGATTGGGTCGCTTTGAAGAGCGGAAGATGGTGGATGGGAGTTAAGAGATTTGCTATGGGAAACTCTGATTCGAGAGACACTTCCTCGGTACCTGTACCGAGTGATGGGCGACAAACAGGAGGATGGCAGTTCTGGGAGACAGCGAGAAGCTCCGACGGCGGGCTCGATGGGATAAATAAGTCGGCGGGGCTTGTCGTCAGAGTGGGGGCTCGCGATCGCATTGACTCCGGCCGGGCCAGCGATAGTGAGATACGTCACAGGGGACCGGCTAACTTATCAGGCACCGTGTGGTTATACTTTGTCGGCTGTGGATGAAGTAAACTCGGCATGTTTTTTGGAGTTTTCTATATATCTCAGGGTTCCGGCTGGTGGAACATAGATGGTAATGCTTATGTGGGATAGTCAAATGCCATTCTCAGTCATTGAAGGAACAACTGGTCAATGCATGAGGTCACATGTCCACGGCTAGCAGCAACTTGAAGTATCCCATTCCAGGCTAAACTGATACAACTCCTACAGTTTCCAATACCTTGATTAAATCACACCGAATGACATTAGACAAGCCAGGTTATATGAGTACAATATGTGCCCGTATATGCACTTTAGATCAATTCCATCTCATAATGGGTAATTCCCGTCCATAACTTATTCAGCCGCCTGACCCTGGCTGAGACACCATAACGCCAAACAAGAGACCCCCGCTAAGACCAACTCGAAACCACAAGCATCCCCAGATGACCTATTAACTAAATTCTCGGTATCTAACACAGTGACAGAAAGGTACATGATCACCTCGACCTGAGCGGTCCATCCACGCTATCAGTGTCGTTAGTGTCATCGTTTGCGCCGAGCCGGCGGCCAAGGGTGCGGGACAGTCCAGCTGCCGCCCACCATTCTTCAGGGATATCCTCGCGACGCGCAAGTCGATCTAAGATGGCTTGCATCTGCTGCAGGTCTGGATCGGTAGAAGTAGAAGAGGAATCGGAGAATGCAAAGGAGATGGTAGGAATAGGAGGGTGGTTGCTCATGGTTGACTGGAGATGCTGAGCACGTCTCAGTGACTCCATCTGACGAACACGACGGTAGCGGCGGAACAATGCGTTGGAAGAAATTCCTGTTTCGGAATCGCTATCGGAATCGCTGGAGCTTGAATAGTCACAGGGATTTAAGAACTCGGGGTATGGATCGAGGACCATCTGGACAGTGCCCGTGCCCGTGCCCGGTTCCATAGGGTTCGACATCTGCAGCGAGGTTGCCGAACTTGCGGATGTCCCGATTGTCGAAGCATTCGTTCCAGAAGCCGATGCGGACGTGAAGGACGAATCGGCACTAGGAAGATTGGTATCCGGCGTGATCGTGGTAAGGAGAGTCTCCCATGCATCGTTGGCATGATCGTCATCTGGACTCAGACTTCTCTGTCGGTCGCCAAGACCATCAATAGCCGACTCGCGGTTGGGACGATTTGCCTCATTGATCGATCGTTCACCGACACGTCGCAGTGTAGGGAAGCCCGCTGAAATCGAAAGATCGCTTCCAAGACCATCGGGTCGAAGGAATGGGGATAGACGAGCAGCTTCTGGGCGCGCTTGAGGAGACGCAGTCCTATGGTATGCAATCGCAGGAGCAAAACGCGGTGTGAACTGGGGATGAGACTGGTCAGGCCGGTTGATTGTGTCATCACCCGGCGACGGACGGTTGTATAGATCGGACAAAGCCGAGCTGCGCGGTATCCTTAATCGCTGACCAGGCCGCCCATGACGGAGCGCATCGCTCAGCAGTCGCTGGCCGGCTTCGCGTCGATCGGAATCCAGGAGGCCGCGGGCCAGGTCGAACGGGTCATCGGCGCTGCTAGAGTTCGAAAGCGGAGAGCGCACATGACGCTGAAGACCATTCGCCTCACGCTCAATCTCATCTGCTAGCGGACGAGGGAAAGGCGACCGGAGGGTTGCGCTGCGCAAGGCGGAGCCGCCATAGCGCGAGGGACGACGAATACTAGCCTGGCGACGAATTGCGGAGCGCGCAGTGGCACATGGGTCTTTGACGGGATTGTTCTTCGGAGCATCTGCGGAGGACTCGCAGAACAGTCTGCATCATGTCAGTCAGATATGACAGCCGTTCCGTGCGCTCTTGGCCGACGGAGTCGCGCGTAGAATCCCGACAGCGGCGAGAGTTGTGTAGGGTAAGAAATTGTGGACTCACGGAATACCCATGGCTACAGAGGATGAGAAAAGAAAGGATAGGGAGCGACGGTCCAGGCAGAAAGGGAGATCAAGGAAAGAAGCCGCATCCAGAAGTAGCGTGAAGTGACGCGAGTCCTTAAATGGAGAGGGCCAGATTGCGGGGACAGCGACCAGGGCGATGTGTTGATGGAGAAACGGCGAGATTTGGTTTTCCTCGTAAGGGTAAAAAGCGGAGGCGAAGAGATTTTGCGCCTGAGGCTTGCGGTCGTAGCGCCGCGGGTTGGCCTGAGGGAAACATTGGGGGATTCTGGGTGGCTGGGAGAACCGGTGGTGGCGCCCTAATGATCATCCGCGTACAATCTGGTACAGCGCCTAAAGGCTGAAGGGAGGGAAGAGTGAATGATTAATGAGTTGTCAATTGAGATGGATCGTGACCACTGAATGTTTCACTTACAATGGCATTGATCACAACGCAGGCGATTGACTATTTCCATGGATCAACTTCGAGTATACTCCCTCAGCGTTACTCTGCCAAATTGATACCAATTACCTGGATTATTGTCCCTCCGACTGGGGGTTATTACGTACGGTAACGACCGCTTCCGGCCTCGGCTCTTCATGCCTTAGGCATTAATCCTTATCGGTCGGCACCTGACAGCTCCCCGATGATTATCTTGCCCGAATCCCGCGGGCAACTCAGATCGGCGCAAGTTTTCTGGAGGTCAAATAGATAACACACTTTTCCCCTCCATGACCACCTCGTCCCTCATCTTCCTCTGATCATGAGGATTGGTCCTTTTCAACTATCAATCATCACATACTCGGAGGGATGATTGAGCTCGGTCTTAGTCGCATAGTCCGCCTTCTCCAGCAGACGCCGCTGACTTGGAAGGCAATCCATATTGCTGGCACCAATGGCAAAGGGTCCATCAGCGCTTATCTCTCCCACCTGTTGTCGACGGGTGGTGTTCGCTGTGGCCGTTTCACCTCCCCGCATCTGATTGATCGTTGGGACTGCATCACTATCGGCGAGAAAGTCGTTCAAGAGTCACTCTTCCGGCAGATCGAAGCTAGAGTCAAACTTCGAGATCAAACGCTGGGAATCGGTGCGAGCGAGTTTGAGCTACTGACTGCAACTGCATTCGAGATATTTAATCATGAGCGCGTGGACATCGGGGTGGTTGAGGTTGGCATGGGCGGTCGCCTGGACGCAACGAACATCCTGACCGACGTCTTGGTCTCCGTCATCGCGAAGATAGGCCTGGACCATCAGTTCCTCCTCGGCGATACTATCGAAGAAATCGCAAAGGAAAAGGCGGGAATCATGAAATCGGGTGTTCCATGTGTTGTAGATGGTACCAATTCGCCTGAAGTGCTCCGAACCCTCGAAGATCACATCAAGGAACTCGGCATCGACGCGATCTTCACACGCCCCGATACTCCAGAGTATCACTCCCCATCGCTTGGTCGGCTCTTTGCTACACTCGATCTCCTACCTCACCAGCGAGCGAACATGTCCTGTGCGGTCTCGGCCTTGAAACTTGCTCTGTCTCGATTCCGTCCCGACATTGACGTCGATGTGCTCGTTCCACAACTGTCAAAAGTCGAGTGGCCGGCGCGCCTACAAAAGCTTGTTCTGAAACCATTGGCAGATCGTGAAGAGCCTGTTCTGCTGGATGGTGCTCACAATACTCAGTCGGCGGAGGTTCTCGGAGAATATGTGGATTACAAACTTCGTCCGCAAGGTACGAACGTCACCTGGGTTATCGCGGCCTCCCGCGGTAAGGATATAGAGTCCTTGTTTCATTCTATAATCAAGGCGGGCGATCGAGTCGCGATCACCGCGTTCGGACCCGTGGATGGCATGCCCTGGGTCAAGGCCAATGAGCCAGAAGAGGTGGCTTCATGTGTCCGATCAATCACGGGTATTGGACAAGTGCAAACCTTTGGGGAAGACATTTCCGGCGCTATCCATTGGGCTTGTGAACAAGCTAGTGGCGGCCCATTGGTCATTGCTGGCAGCCTCTACCTGGCGTCGGATGTTCTACGTCTCCTCCGGGAAGCACAAAAGCAATTATAAGTCATGGCATCAAGACCAATGGTCTTTCCTGACAGAGATACCCTTTTCCATCCGCAGCGTTTTGGCGTATCTGTAAGTATATAAGCATACATTAATTAGTTTAACGGAAGTGCATTTCCTGTTCCGAGGACCTAGTTCTGTAAATTATCAATGCGCAAACCAGTCTTGCGACTTGCATATATACAGTGCAGCACTACATTGCAGTAAGAAAACATCAATAACATGCTACGAGTTGCAGAGGAGTAATTGCACAGCTCGCATCATAGCGGGTGTAAGTGATACGGTGATAAGGCTGATCGGAGATCCAGCAGCGGCCGGGCGCTGCGTCATGGCCTAAGCCAGCTGGTGGTGGTCTGTGGGGAAAAGAGAAAAGGAAAGTTCAAAACACCCGTCTGTCCTGCATTTGCTCCGGCAGGCACAGCAGTCCGTGACTTTTTGTCGGTCCCTTCGCAAGCTTCTGGTTGGATATCCGTGAGTCTTTCTGACGAGCGGACGATTAGATTTGCTTTTCTGGAAGGGGAAATTCGATGTGTAGAGACGCGTTGAACCGGACGCGGCTCTCTCTTGACTGCGAGGACAAAGATTGTTCCTGTATGTTTTTTTCTTTCGTCTGAATCCACCATGAGATCATGCCATATTTTCTGCGGAGTTCAGCGCAGATTTATCTTCCTGCTGCATCTTATATTGTGTCTGAAACCTGCTAACGAGATCTCTTCTGTCTGGATGAATAGTTCGTGCTGACATGAACGATCCGATCGGTTCTCTGGCGCCTGCCTTTTCTACACCTTCCCTCGTCGTCTAAGCCTACAGTTGTCGGAATCCGAGTGCATCCAGCTGTTGAGTGTCATTCTAAACAACAGCGAAAAGGGGACCTCGATCCACCCGCTGCGCGACCATGGTTTCCCGGTCCAGCGAAGCCAGTGAGGGGCCGCCGCCACCTTCCAAGGCCTCCGGCACTCCAGCCAAAACGCGACTGTCGAGACTCAACTCCAGCCCGGCCAAACAAGACAAACCGAAGGATGATAGGGTTGTCAAATCGTCCGCTAAGGATGTCGCGGAGCTTAAGGATTATGTATGAATACGGCTTTCCCTGGTTCCCCGTGATGGGAGTGGCTAATGGTGACTTAATGTAGCAATTGGGCGACTGCCTGGGTAAAGGTGCCTTTGGGTCGGTCTACCGGGCCCTGAATTGGAATACTGGGGAAACAGTCGCTGTGAAGCAGATCAAATTGGTGGATCTGCCGAAAAGTGAACTACGAGTGATTATGGTAATCCTTCTCCGGTCGCCGCTTGTTAAGTAGCTGTCCGCTAACGCTGTGTTGCAGTTGGAAATCGATCTTTTGAAGAACCTAGATGTGAGATGCGAAATCCGATCATGTCCCTTGTCACCCCAGCTGACCTGTGATGTAGCATCCCAATATTGTGAAGTATCAGGGGTTCGTGAAGTCTGCGGAAACTCTAAATATCATTCTTGAGTATGTACTTTCGCATTGGTTGTTGAAGCCATGATCAGTGTAGCTGACGAGACAGATACTGTGAAAATGGCTCTTTACACTCGATCGCAAAGAACTTTGGGCGTTTCCCAGAAAACCTGGTCGGTCTCTACATGTCTCAGGTGCTCCATGGTCTCTTATATCTGCACGAGCAAGGTGTCATTCATCGAGATATCAAAGGAGCCAACATCCTTACAACGAAAGAAGGTCTAGTCAAGCTTGCAGATTTTGGTGTGGCCAGCAGGACCACTGGGCTTAGCGAGTCCAGCGTCGTTGGGACGCCGTATTGGATGGCTCCGGAGGTGATTGAACTTTCTGGTGCGACGACAGCTTCGGATATTTGGAGTCTTGGTTGTACCGTGATCGAGCTTCTGGAGGGTAAGCCTCCTTACTACAATCTCCAACCTATGCCGGCTCTATTTCGCATTGTCAATGATGACCACCCTCCCCTTCCTCAGGGTGCTTCTCCGGTCAGTTTCCTGTCCCATCCTCCGTTCTCAATATCTAATGAGTATCCAGGCTGTCAAAGACTTCTTGATGCAATGCTTCCAAAAAGATCCCAATCTTCGTGTTTCCGCCAGGAAGCTCCTTAAACACCCATGGATTGTCAACGCTCGCAGGTCTGATTCCGTGGTTCCCAAGAAATCCACCGAGTACGAGGAAGCAGTCAAGAGCGTTCAGGAGTGGAACGAAGCTCTTCGTTCTCCGGACACTGGAACCCTGCGGAAACCGTACAGATACGACGCTCAAGGTGCTGCTCTGCGCCCCGAAATGGCTCCATCTCGGTATACCCCAACAAAGGATATTCTTCCCAGCCCGGTGTCCAAGCATGTGACAGATCGGTTCCGCTCGCCGGACTCCACGGAAGAAGACAATTGGGACGATGACTTTGCTACTGCTATCTCTCCCAGCGCGCTGCAGCTTCCCCACCTTCGGCCACAGGACAATTTTGGCGGAATGCTTTCCTCCGAAAAGCTGAAGGCGTTTGCATCCCTAGATGGTACAGTGTTGAAGTCAGAAGATGGCTTTGATGACTTCGATGATCCTTTCTCTCAACAGCCCGGTGAATCGGATCCTCTTCGGACCATTCGCCCTTACTCGGCCAAACCGACCGGGATGGAGAACATGTCACAGCAGACAAAGCCCACATTAACTGCGATGCACCACAATGTACCTGTTCTCAAGACCCCTGTGCCACCATTAAGACCGCAGCGCCCAACATCGTACTTCAAGGAGAACTCGGTTGAAGACTACTCCGACCTCATCTCTGCAAATGAAGATATCTTGGATGATAAACTCAGTGCTTTCCAGGTAAGAATATCCCCTACTGGGTTATTAGTATGCGGCTTCTTATGCATCTTAGGATATCGACGAAGAGGGCAGCGATATATCGATCTCTTCGCCCTCAAAGGAGGTAGTCCGGTATCAGGCGTCACCGGATCGTGATGAAGATCACCAGCCGCAGCTTAGAAAACGGATATCTGTCAAGCGCCACCGATCAGCAATAGAAATACAAAAGTTCGCAGAAAACGAGCGAGACGAAGACTTCTCTGACATTCTAGGCGCTGATGAGGTTGCCTTGGATAAGCCCGAAAGCGATGAGGGCTCGGATCGGAGTACGCTGATGTTGAACTCAAAGCTATCGAATAATTCATGGCTTGGCGATCAAGATGATGAGGACGATCCGTTTGCCCAGCTTGAAGAAGGACTCGATGAGGTGGATCTGGAAGCTAACATCGCGCGTGACAAATACGCACGTTTACGGGGTCAAGTCGAGGGTCTTGTCAGCTCTCTGAAGACGTCTCAAGATGAAGATGTGCTTGGAGAAATCTCGGAGCAACTGCTAACCGTGTTCTGTGATCTTCCAGAGACGAAGAACATCATCATTAGCGCTCACGGGATGCTACCGATCTTGGAAATCCTTGACATCTGCCGTCGGCGCGACATTATTTTGTGCTTGTTGCGGATTGTCAACGCCATCATTTTCAATGACTATGAGATCCAAGAAAACCTCTGTTTCGTCGGAGGTATTCCAATCATTAACGAGTTTGCCTCCAAGAAGTATCCGAGAGAGATTCGACTAGAAGCAGCAGCCTTTGTGCAGCAGATGTATCAAACATCTACTCTCACCCTCCAGATGTTCGTCAGTGCCGGTGGTCTCAACGTATTGGTCGAGTTCTTGGAAGACGACTACGAAGATGAACGCGATCTCGTTCTCATTGGGGTGAACGGTATCTGGAGCGTTTTTGATTTACAGGTATGTCCGACTGCAGATCAACCTGCTCGTTCAGACGCTGACTCGATTTAGGGTTCGACGCCGAAAAATGATTTCTGCAGGATTCTATCACGCAATTCTGTCTTGGATCCCTTGTCACTTGTTTTGAGCCGAGTCTTGGACGAAGAAGGAGAATTGGCAGAAATCGTGGAAGGCCGGATAGCCAACATCTTTTTCATTTTCTCGCAGGCCGAGAATCACGTTAAGGAAATGGTTGCTGAGCGAACAGTTCTGCACAGTAAGGCATCAAGTTAGATACAACAGACACTCCGCTAACCTGTCTCAGGGGTCCTGAAAGAGCTGAAGCGGATGACGCCCGCACACCAGATCACTATGTTGAAGTTTATCAAGAATCTGTCCATGCTTTCAACAACTCTCGACTCGCTCCAGAACTCCAACGCCATCGACGTGCTTACGGACTTGTTGAGGTCGACCATCAAACGGCCGCATTTCCGGGAAGTTAGCAACCAGATTCTCAACACTATCTACAACATGTGTCGTTTGAACAAGTCCCGCCAGGAGGATGCTGCACTGAATGGCATAGTACCGCTTCTCCAGAAGATTGTAAAGACCGAGCGGCCGCTCAAAGAGTTTGCGCTGCCGATTCTTTGCGACATGGCGCATTCTGGTAAGGTCGGACGGCGCGAACTGTGGCGCAATAAGGGTCTGGCTTTCTACATTTCTCTGTTGTCGGACCCGTACTGGCAGGTGACCGCATTGGATGCTATATTTACTTGGTATGTGTTGGCACCGTGTGTAGTGAGGACCGATCTAATTATTTGGCAGGCTCCAGGAAGAAACGGCCAAGGTTGAGGAACACCTATTGGATAACCGCTACGACAAGATGTCCTTTACGGATTCCATTGTCAGGTGCTTGACGATTTCCAAGGCGAACGCCTTCGAGAACATTCTCGAGCCACTGCAAAAGCTTCTGAGACTGAGTCCGCCTATTGCCTCGACATTTGCGCGTCCTGATCTCTTCACAAGGCTAGGGCAGAAACTACATCACAACAAAGCCGCTGTTCGGCTGAACCTCCTGCGTATTATCTCGAGCATCTGCGATTCTAGCGAAGAACAAGGTGGCCTTCTTGCGAAATATGGACTTTTGGAAGCAATCCGGGAATTGGAGCATGACCCGGCCATTCTGGTTAGAGACATGGCTGGCAAGCTGATCCAATCCAATGAGCGCAGTGAATCTTTCAGTCTCGAGAAGCGCAAGCCTGGTATGAGGCGCAAGAGCACGTCTACCACGCCCCCAGGCTACCTTGCGAACCAATCCGCCCCAGCCACCCCACAGATCAATCGGTTCAACCAACCCAAGGCTTATTTCGATGGACGGGAAAGCCAGCGGCACCCACGGCCCTCCCTTAGCAGCTCGGCTCTGGCATTACGACCAGGCAGCAGGGATGGCACTAGCCCTGCTCTGTCAGCTGGGCTCAGCAGCAGTGCCGGCCCGTCGAGGAACAGACTGTCGCGAGGAGTGGCTAACAGGCTATCACAAGTAGAGCTTCTGGCTGAGGAGGAGACTCGGCCGTCGAGTTCACTCTCCCGTCGACGTTCCATCCTTCCTCAGCGCCGACGACCCACGCATGCTGATTCCGACTGGGCGTCCTAGCGGACCTCATGCTGGGCCGAGGTGCGATGATTTGCTCATGGGTAGACAGGAAACTGTGGAAGTAGATGGATACATTGTATTTGCATTGCATAGGATTGGAGTACTGGGTTTGTTTGTGATTTGCTTTGACTGTGTATACACATTCTTTTGTCGATGTGCTTTCAGGCGGAGATGGGATCTCTCTCAGGCTGGTATTCGGGGTACAGGAAGACGGAACTGTCAGGGAGGGAAATGGCCCATGTAGATAATCATGGATAACATACGAGTGCGATTTTCTGTTTTTGTTTTCGAACTTTGTGTAGGAAGTACATACTTACAGTTGGCACTGTAAGGGCAATCCCGAAGTGGCGGCCAAACGGGGCTGATCGGCTTCCGATGCAGAAGTGCGACGAAAATGCGCCGCGGCGGCCAACCAGTGAACTTCTCCGCCGCATCCTCCCTCCTCATTCTCCTCCTGCAGACTTTCCTCCTCCCCCTACAATTGTCCTCGAGGGCTTCGTGCTGGCACGGATGATCCACGCCGTCCGGTTGACAGCTGTTCTCGACTTGTGGTCGCTCCCCAGACGGCATTGTTCGAGTTCGGGATGAGGGCGGCGCTCCTCCGCATTCCGCTGCGGGCTTCCAATTTTGATCCTGCGGCGGTCATACGATCGGCTTCGAAGCCTTCTCTCGCCTGCCACCCTGGCAATTTCGCCCCGTCGTCTTCGATTCCCCGTCGGATGATTTCCACCTCGGTTACTACACCTCCTGCATCATGCTCGAAGCGCTTCTCCGGTCGTATCGCCCAGTCGATTCCCCGGGCCACTTACGCCACCCGCACGTCTCCATTGTCTGAATCGGCGAATTCGGGACAGAGTGATGGAAAGCATTCGGGATCAGGTCAAGCGCGCAGCAAGGCCATTAAGTATGCTGTGATTGGAGGCACCCTCGTGGTTGGAGCAGTGGTGTTTTCGGACCAAGTTCAACACTTCTACCGTGCCGCTGCGAGAACTGGCAGAGTGGTTGGCACACTGGCGGTTTGCATAAACGAGTAAGCATATATACACACCCCTGAGGCTATGCTGTCGGTATACTTATGCGTCTTGAATCAATCAGCTACCGGGTAACTCTCAAGCAAGAAACCTCCACGCCGGAAGAACGAAGCGAAGCCATCCGGGCCTGTCACAAACGTTGCGCGGAACGAACTCTACGGGTTCTCGAGAAGAATGGATCGATCTTCATCAAGCTGGGACAGCATTTGAGTAGCATGGGCTACCTGCTTCCGTCGGAATGGACTACAACCTTTATCCCGCTCCAGGACAAGTGCCCCGTGTCATCGATTGAATCGATCGAGGAAATGTTCGTGGCCGATACAGGACGTCGTATCGACGAGTTGTTCTCGTCGTTCGATTCTGAGCCTATTGGTGCCGCTTCTTTGGCGCAGGTGCACATTGGTACATTGAAGGAAACAGGTCAAAAGGTTGCGGTCAAGGTGCAGCATCCCGCTTTGGCGGAGTGGGTGCCCCTGGATTTGGCCTTGACTCGGTTTACCTTTTCGATGCTGAAGCGCTTCTTCCCTGAATACGATCTGGAATGGCTCTCTCGTGAAATGGACCTGTCTCTGCCCCAGGAGCTGGATTTCCGAATGGAGGCGGAGAATGCCACGCGGGCGAGCGAGTACTTCAAGAAGCACTCGGATGCCCCGTTGGTTATCCCTGAAGGTATGCCTCGACAGTCATAGTTGCCTTTACCCAGCAAGTGCATACTAATATCATCTAGTGATGTGGTCCCAAAAGCGTATCCTGGTCATGGAGTTCATCTCTGGCCGACGTCCCGACGACCTTGAATTCCTCGACTCGAACAATATTGACCGCGACGAAGTCTCCGCTGCTCTGGCACACATCTTCAACGAGATGATCTTCGGTAACAACGCACCCCTGCACTGTGATCCTCACGGCGGCAACATCGCCATCCGTCCGAACCCCAACCGTCGCCGGCACAACTTCGACATCATCCTCTACGACCACGGTCTCTACCGCGACATCGACAAGGACCTGCGCCGCAACTACGCCAAGCTCTGGCTGGCTGTGATCGAGTCCGACCTTCCGCGCATGCGCGAGTACGCGCGCAAGGTTGCCGGAATCACAGACGAGCAGTTCCCCCTCTTCGCCAGTGCCATCACGGGCCGCGACTACATGGTGCTCCAGAAGAAGGATATCGTGTCTGCTCGTACCTCGGCAGAACGAGAGAGCATGTCCGGCTCTTTGGCCGACGGTCTGCTGCAGCAATTAGTCGAACTCCTAGGCCAAGTACCTCGAATTATTTTACTGATCCTCAAGACGAACGATCTGAGTTAGTCCCACTCCTCCCTCCCCTTCTAATCTATCTGTCTCTAATCATTGATGTAAAACATACAGCCCGCAGTCTCGACGAGAACCTCCACACCCGCCAAGGACCTATGCGCACCTTCCTCATTCTCGCCCGCTACGCCACCCGCACCGTCTTCGAAGAGCAAATGGACTCTGTCAATGAGACCGGGGGTATCCTCCGTCCTGGAAACTTCTGGCGCTTCCTCTGCGCTTGGACTGGGTATCTGCGCGTGGAGTTGAAGTTGTCTGTTTATGAGACGTTGCTTTCGCTGAAGAGTCGGTTCGGGTTGGTTTGAGTGATCTGTATATTCTTCTCCTTTCTCTTCTTATTCTTTCCTTCTTACCTCTACTTTTTTTACCCCCTTTCCCTTTGGTTTTGAATCCCTGCTACGCAGTAATTGATCGATATCGATATAGAGGGCATATGCATGCGGTGTTGTGCATTGGCGTTTCTCTTTTTCCATTACCTTTGCCTTTTCCCTTTCAGCTTTTTCCGTTACTTTAGACTCGATTTTCCTTTTTCTCTCATTGTTTTCCCGTTTCAAGTAATCTGGATCTTGAAAAGAAAGCCGTGCTCTGTCTGTACTTTATACATATATAGAATTTATATTTTATTATATCGTTATCTCTTAAATACATACTACATACAATATATATAAGATACTGTACATACACTAGTTACCACTCTCTAGGATAAATTGAAGTAATCCTCTTAGGCATTAATACATATACATTAACAGGCACCTAGTGTTTAAGGGTGGTAAGATAGATTAAATAAATAGGTAAGGTAAAGTACCTTGGTAGCCACGCTCCCTGCATATCACTCCCAATTAGAAAAGAAAAAATCACTACACTTAAGAATAAGAATCCGTCATGTCTGCAGAATTTATCAGATCTAATCATTGCATGCGTGCGTGCGTGCGTACCTTGTTAGATTATTTCACGCACAGACTACGTACAGGCATAGTAGCTAGAGCTTAAACTACTTTGTACTAAAGTGGCTATGCTAAGTGCTTATCAGATGGGGCTTTTCCTTCTTTGTGTTACTTGTCATGTCACTTCACTGTAAGTTGCCTGTGCTGTGCTGCATGATGTCAGTGGCCAGCCATAGCTGAATTGATGGGTGGAGGTGGCGAATCAGATAACCACTCTTTATTCGCCTATCTCTTTGTTTCGATGGTTTTCTATCATTCCACTGTATATACTACGTTGTGATGATTACATTCATTGCTATAGATAGAGAGGAGTACATTTTCTTGTGTATTGTACTACTGTGATTGATAATGTTGATGTTGTATATATCCGAATAATCAATCCCTTCTTTAGTTGCTTCGCCGGAAACAAACATTGAGTAAAACGAGTCATGAAAAGGAAGAAAAGAAGAATAATGAAATGCTATACACCGTTTAATAAAGGAAAGGAAAAAAGGTCCATCCAGACTGACTGACAAACAACAGGTTATTTTGTGGGAATCACATATTCGGCCCAGACCATTCCACTCCATTCCACCACAGGCCAAATTCATACAGTCACATCTCCATTGTATCATTCTGCTTCGCTCTTCTCTCCAGGGAATCAATCATGGTATCTGTATCCGTATCCGTATCCATTTTTGCTCCGTATTTTTTTTCATTTTTCAAAATTTTCACTCTTCGCAAAACACTTCAAAGACTTAAGCAGTAGCGCTGCTGGTCTTCTCAACCTCCACCTGCACCTCGGGGATAGAGGCGCCCGTGCCGGACAGATCGGTCTTCACGGTGCGAGGGTTCTTGGTGTAGTAATCCGAGATGGCGGACTTGATGGCGTCTTCGGCAAGCATAGAGCAGTGCACTAGAATTATATGTTAGATCTTATCATCCCTTCCCCAAATTCTTTCGGCGCTCTCATCTCCAGGAACAAGGGGGAACGTACGCTTGACAGGGGGCAAGCACAGCTCCTTGGCGATATCAGTGTTACGGATCTTAGCGGCCTCATCGAGGGTCATTCCGCGGACCAACTCAGTCAGATAACTCGAGCTGGCAATAGCGCTACCGCAACCGAAAGTCTTGAACTTGACGTCGCTGATCTTGTTGCTGTCCTTGTCGACGCGGATCTGGAGCTTCATGACATCGCCACAGGCCGGGGCGCCGACGAGACCGGTACCAACGTCCATAGACTTGGCCATGGAGCCGACGTTTCCTATAGGATGCTCGTTAGTATTCATTTCCGCATTTTGTTCGTGTTTATATGTCTGGTGGGCGAGATTTGAATGCGCTGCGTGCTGTATATGTTGATGCGATGACATCTTGTCGAGGGATGGATGCAGGAAGCTACCTACTTGGGTTGGAGTAGTGGTCCAACAGTGCAGGGATGGTCAGTATTTTCTTCGATGCAAAAAAAGGGGAAAAGGTAGACATATCTTTCTCATGGTATCCTCTGCGCTGCTGCTGCTGAGGAGCAACAACAGTCGACCTCACGGCTTGCTGGATTCCGGAGACGGCCGGGGTGACGCTGCGAGGCGAAAGGACGCCGGAGCGAGGAACAACTGTTACTAGACGACGGAACATTGTGTATGTGATGTGTGTGATGAATTAAGAGAAAAGTAAGGTATTGATTAGATAGTAAATTGATGATGAAAGGACAGGTGAGTGGTGATGTCGGGGTTGAGTGGTTAAGTTGGTTAGGAAGAAGTAGGATGTGATGAAAGATTGATAGTTGCGATTGATTAATTATGGTTTCTTTGGGGGGGGAAACTTGACTAAGGCCGTCTTATTCACCGGCGCTAGGCGATTTCGAGAAACCCCGTTGCCTCCGCGGAGCCGGCCTCGGAGATAGGGTATGACGTTAAAGCGAACCAGTGGGTGGGATTAGGGAGTTATGCTGTGTATCGTTACTTGTCTGGGATACCCGTGGATGAGAAGCTATCTGATTGAAGGATGTGAGATGACACGTTCTACCAGAAGAATCGCTGTTGGGGAAGGATGGAATGCCAGTTCTGTGGCCTACAACAGAAAGGGTAGGCGGGAGTTGTAGTTCTGGGTCCGCCGGTTCTTAACCAAGAAGAAGAACCGGCAGTTTCGGCCAACGGGAAGTTCTGCAGGCGGGCATTACCAAGCGGTACGGAGCAGAGCAGCGGCTGGTATCGTAAGGATGGGCTTATCTGCTCGCCCTCCATCTGATAATGTTTCCTCCTTTCCCTATCGGATTATTTCGGCCCGAGGATGTACTTTCCCTGCAGTGTGGGCTCTAGAACCATTCTAGTTAGTAAGAACCTTTGCTTAGTTGTTTACTTAGACGGGTTAAGTTATCCCGGATGACTTTGGTCGAAAAGCGTATCTTGCTGGCCACCAGTCAAATTCCTTTTTACAAGAAAGAAAGAACGTAAACCATGGCCGGAAAGACACTAGGCCGATCATCGGGCGTGAGTCACTCTTTTCATCTTCTTATTCCTTTGCAATCATTAGTAGTGGTAGCAGTTGCTAGTTTGATCCCATGACAGTTGCTGCAAGAGTATATATTCGATTTCTATTGAATAGCACACACTCCGGATGATCGCCATTCAACTTAACTTAGTAATTAACATACTATCTATGAACAGTCCCTCAATGCCCCAATAGCCGCCTTCACCATGGCCCTTCTGCTTGGCTCCTACTGCATCAAATCCATCCACACCGCTCGTCGCGAAGCGCAATCCACATCAAGCACCGCAACCACTACGCCCCGACCTACTAAGAAGGCAGAGTCGCAGTCTTCATGGGTACAGCAGGCACTGGAAGAGAGTCGAGAGGGGGAGAACAAGTGATTCAGTTCGGGCAGAACTGAGTGTAAATCTAGTTACAAATACGCGTTGTATATACTACTACTTATTGCTTCTTCAGGTCTGGGACATTTTCTCGAATTTTCATTGCATTAAATCGGCACACATAATAATCTGATATGCAGTGGCTAATATCAGCACCACAAACACAACACAAATAACATCATATCAATTTAATCCATTATCAGAATTTTCAGTGTATCAATGATCATATCCCATATCCATGGCGGATAGCAGGATCTACCATTAAAAAATTATTCATCATATAAATGGAGTCAAATGATAATATAACCACCAACACAAAAAAGAAAAACGACGATTCAATTGTAGAGAAGAGTAACAGTCGAATATGCATCGATCATCATCATAAGCACAAACACATTATTGCGCAATAGGAAAATGATATCAATCAACAGTGTCGGTTAATATGGCTTTCATTATAGCCATGGTTGGTGGGAAGGAAACAAACCGCACAGAGAATTTCGCCGGTGGTTTTTAGTGTGGCTGTCACGTGACTTTCCCGCTGATGTCATGTGGGAAACGAACTGAGGGGAATGCAGCTGCGTGCATGGATGATGGGTGTATTTCCCCTCCCTCAGATTATTTCATTAATTTGGCTTGAGTTGTAATTTGGAACTGTTGAATGCTATTTATCTTACTACGGAACATATGTTCTAGAGGGAAGATTTGTATGTATATACAATCGCAATTGAGGTTTATCGATCCGGTAGGAAAAAACAAGAACGCTCAGAACCATAACCACCAAGGATTCAACAACTCAGAAAAAGACTAGTTTGTTTGGAGTTTCACATGTCAACAACACATCATACATCTACCCCTACTCCGCAGGGGTGTATCGCTGTGCCGAGGATGTGTCGAAAGGATCAAAACAACGTGCAGGCAGGATATCATGGGCTGCAGCCCAGGAAATGAATGTCCTCTATAGTAGTGTATCTTCGCGATGTACGACTAGCACGGAACAGAAATAAGATCGCTAGGGTGCAATATAATCCCAGCTCAGGTGCGATGCCCATGGCTCGTCACCTCGTCACAGACCATCCATCTAGTAATTAGATTCCATTGTCTGATGCGGTCTCCAGCTTCTGCAGCTTCAACTCCCCCTCATGTTGCACGTGTCCAATTGTTTTCTTCAAGTACTCGTAAGTGAGCATGGTAGTCATCGCAGCCGGGACTGCCCGGAACAGGTTCGTGCCGATCCCAGAGTAGAATGCGCGCCAGCCTTCTTCTCTCAGAATGGTCTGGCATGTGCGAATGATCCCCGTGTACCGGGGTCGGTTGGGCATCCCGTCCGACGAAGCCGCACCCGGGGGTCTGCTATGACCCTGAGGGTGATCCATCCCGCCGCGGAACGAGATCTCTTCGGGCGAGGAGGCCGGTGATGTCCTCTGCTGGGTTTGGAGTCGTGTCCGAAGCACTTCATGCGGGTATGTCGCAGTGCTGGCACAAATCTTACTCAGGAATGTCGCGGATGTAATGCCCACCCAGTGTGAGCTGCCAGTATCAGGATGTTCGCCAATACTATAGCCCGTAAATGCCATCTTCAAGTATTCGTAGAGAGGGAACTGGATGGCCACGTGCGCCAGTCCCAGCAGCGCTGGAGTCAGGCCGGAATAGAACGAACGGATTCCTTCACTTCTGTACATTTTGCGGGCCGCATCCCATGTATTCTTGTATTGCCACGGAGCCCGGTAGCCTTCGCTGCTTGACCGGAGGCTCTGGGACATAAGTCGTGTCTTAATCACCCATATCGGATTTGTCGCAAGTGTCGAGCAAGCGCCCGCCGTTATCGAGGCGTAACCTCGTGAAAGCCACCAACTATCTGTTCCAACGTCAGCCTCACCATCACCAACCCCTTGTTGTCACTCCTCACCTGTTGTTTCGTAGAAATACTCCCGAGACCGATCGTAGACCGCTAAATAGACCGCCCACGTCGGCAGGTATCCCAGGAGCATAGGACCCAATCCTTGATAAAGGCCTCGAATACCATCTTCCCGCCATATTACTCGCCCAGTTCCTAGCATGCCCCGGTACAGTGTCTTAGCCTCGACCGCCTTGCCGCCGCGTCGTCGCGCGAATCCACCCTGAGCCTGCAACTTGGTCTTGATCACATCGAGAGGACAGGTAACGATCCCCGAGGCGACGCCCGCACTGGCCCCGCAAAACGGTGTGATGTAATAATCCGGCACACGTGTAGCAAGCATTTCGAAGCGATCCAGGAAAGTAGGTTGGGGCGGAGACTCGGCCGATACATGAAGCGTAGACGATGGCGGGCTGTCCGAAGTTGTACCCTGCTGCTCTTGAGAGCCGCTGGCAGCCCCCGACGGGCCATGGCCTTCAGAGAACATCTTTCCAGCCAGCGCTCAAAGCAGTATGCAATCCGTCTACTATGTCACCGAGGGTTCCCGGATCCGAGCATATCGGTGCTCGCTCCGGAACCCAAGAATAACCCGTGTGTCAAATCGTGGTGAGAGGGGAAGAAAGCGTGACGTCGTTCGGGGCGCTGGTAGAACAGGAAAAACTACCCCGAGACAGTGAATTGAAGGGTTTTTCTTTCTCAGAGAGGAGCCGATACAGCCGGGAGGAGTGGGCGTAATAAGGTTGGCCTATCTGAAGCACAGACGGGGCGGGGTCTGTAGGAGCGACGCAGCTCCCCTATCGGAGTGAAAGGGAATCGAACTAAGAAAAATGTTCAACGGATTGATAATAAGCGGCATGCCCAGTGAGTACAAACCGAAGTATTAAATCAAAGACCGTCGGTGTGAAGTCCGAACAGAAGGGAGCGCCGGTGTTAAGAGGAAACAGACGGAACAGGACGGAGCAATGAGGACGGGATGATTTGAGCTGGAGGGATTGTCTTAGTCGTATTCCAGTCAGTCAGGTGGAGTGGAGTTCGGGAGTGAGTGAATCTTGTCCGCCTCCAAGCGCGCCGCTTATTTGGCCTGAGGCACATACTCATGGCGCAAGCTGGGCCGGTCACGTGAAAGACAGTCTTGACTGTAGCTCTCGGAATGATTCCTTCTGCCTCAGGCACCAACATCGGATGTTTTTGGGAAAGTCACCCGCCGAACCTCCGTTTTGCACAATCTCCAACGTCGGGCCATCTCCTGCTCAGCTTGACTGACATTTCGCGATCCTCCCCTCCACACCACCCCGTCAATTGGACCCGATCAACCCCGCTGGGATCGTTCACCATGTCCGCTCCCTCCCTCGCCAGCTACATCGTCAAGCGCCCCTTCCTCAAGCGCTGGATGATGCCCATTGCCCAGTGGTACACCGATGCCTCTGGTTACAGGAGACTCGGCTTGAAGTAGGCGACTCCCTTACCTTCCTGGGCGGTTCTCCCGGACCAATATCAGCGACTACGAATCAATGGCAAAGACAATGGATAGATTTCAATTGCGGGGGGATATGTATATCAGCATCCTCCACTTGGCTATCCATATCATGTTCCTGCCGTCGCCCGCTGGTCCGGGCATCACGAACCAACCCATACCCATACCTTCATTGCAGCCATCAACTAACAATCAAACCAGGGCTGATGACCTGATCCCCGAGGAGAACGACGTCGTCCAGAAGGCCCTTAAGCGTCTCCCTCCCAAGGAGGCCTACGACCGTGTCTTCCGCATCCGCAGAGCATTCCAGGTCCGTCCCATACCGAAGCCAACTACAGAATAACACAAAACTAATATTATATGCGCAAAAATAGTGCTCCATTTCCCACACCCTTCTTCCCGCTGCTGAGCAGACCAAGCCCGAGGAGGTGAGTCGAAATCCCGCGTTCTTCCAACCCGTTCAGTTTCTCCGCAAAAACGCATCGGCCAATCCCGTGAGCGGGATTTGTAACCCACCTGGGTTTACTCCATATCGATGCATATGTTGACTAGACTTGATATATTGATGTTTTGTTATGATATTCGTCGCGTTTGAGACTCATATTTTCATGTGGTGGATGCTAACTGTCGTCCCCTAGGATGTCGAGTACCTGAGCCCCATCATCCGCGAGATCGAGAAGGAGAAGCAGGAGCGCGAAGACCTCGACGCCCTTGTCGTCAGACGGTAGATCATGCCTCTGGTTTCGCTGAACTAGATTACTTTTGTTACGGTATACAAAAATGCCGCTGGGGTTTTATAGACGGGCGGGTATCACTAAGTATCAGAGAGAACTACTTGCTGTCCCGGCTCGGCTCGGCGGGCATGCTGCGAAGAGAAGGGGGGGAAGAGAGCATTTGGCTGGTCGTTAATTGAAGCTTTTGATTTATGGTGCTCAATCACGTGTACTGATACTGTACAAATTCACTCGTCATCGTTCTCTAGTTGGCTGTAGCAGAAGCTATATACGTTCCACATTCCCCGAGTAATGTACATATAGTAGCTCTATACACTATATCCGACGGATGTTTGGGATCTATATCCTGTCTGTATATATCAAGTAGTATCTACCCACCCAACACAGCAATATTAACATCCGTCACCCGCCACATATACCACATGAACAAGCTCCTAGTACCAATGTCAGACACTAAACCCACAAGGACATTCTTAGATCAAAAAACACCACATACCTATACGGAGCGAACTTCGCCGCCAGCTCCAACATATCCTTCTCAGGCATATACTTGAACTTACCGCCACCCTTTCCCTTCAACTTGTTTACATCCTTGCCCACAAACACTGCACAACCTCTCCTGCAACAAGTCAGCATCTACCCATCACCACCCATCTCCACCCTCAGATAATGGAAAAAAGGGACATACTGTACACCCAAATCCCCCGTGGAAAACACATCTATGCGCTTCAGAGCAAAACAAGCAAACATCTCAACAGACCATTTACCCAGACCCCTCACAGCAGTCAACTTCTCCACGAGCTCCTCATCACTAGCATTCAACAACATCCGGGCACTCAGTTCCCCGTTGGCGAACTTCTCCGATAACCCATGTATGTATTCCGCCTTGCGCTGGGACAAACCTGCTGTCCGGAGCGTTGTGATATCCTTTTTGATGATATCTTCCGGGGTGGGGAAGAAGCTTGTTCTTAGTGTACCACCATCCTGACCCTTTTCATTATTGGTATTGAACAACGCCACAAACTTATCCCGAATCGACTTCGCCGCTGCCCCGGACACCTGCTGTCCAATGATACTGCTAACGAGACTTCGAAACGGATCGATCTCCTCGGCTAGACCCTCCGGTGTGAACAATGGGCAGGGATGTTCGCTAATGAGCGATTCGAAGCGCGGATCTGTGGCGATTAGGTGTGCGGCTGCTTGCTCGAGAAGCGTGCCTGTTGTGGCGGTGGGACGGGGCCGGCCTGTCTTGCTTGGAGAGGCGTCTGCATCTGTGCCTGGGGGGTAGGCGACTAGTGATGAGCCGTGGGGGGTTAGGAGCGTTGCGTTGGTGTGGTGCGGTTCGACGGGTCGGTCGAGTGGGGGAGGGGTCGTTCTGCTGCTGGGGGTGGGGATGGGGTCCCAGATGTTGTTAGTAGTGGTGGTAGTGGTAGTGGTAGTGGTAGTATTAGGTGATTGTATGCTGTTGTTTGAGTGCGATGATGATGTCGTTGGTGCATCTGTGAGGGGAGAAGCTTGGTCTAGCTTGGGATTCGCATTTAGCTGCGCTTTCTTGCCCCTTGCTGCTGCTGCGGGCTTTCGTGTCTTCGAGACACCATTTGTGGTTCTGCTGGCTGCTCTCTTTGTTTGAGTTCTGGATTGCAGATGCGGGACAGTGCTGGTGGTGGTGGTGCTGTTGTTCTTGGACACTGACGCTGCGGTTAGACGAGCGGAGCGTCGTAGGGTCATCATTGAGTCAGTCGCTGTTTAGCAGAATGTATTCAAGTTCAGAATATATGTATTCAAGGGTGACTGAGGTGAGGATCTTATTGCTGCTCTTGTTAGTAGGTGGTATGGTCAGTCATGGCGGTTCGTATCATTGGAGTAGTACTATGATGAGGATGGAGTACATAAGCTCGGGAAGTCACGAGCAGCAAACTGTCTTAGCAATCAACCTTGGTTGGTTTCCTGTCTGTCAGTTTTCCATACCGCTTCTTATTGCGGTTTTCTCTGCATGCGTGGTGGACTCTTATCCCCCGCATTTGAGAGGTGTGAAACACTATCGCTTCAGGTTGAGGTCTTCAATCATTTGTTGTTGTGTCATATGACATTCCGTGGTTAGACACGCTGTATGTTGAGTAACATAATAAACCTGCAGAATCGTGGGTCCTGGGTATGATTAGTCTAGGGAATGAAACCAAGAGATTATTGTTCATCAAAATAATTCAGAATGGTTTGGACTGAACATCATGATCATTATGGCGGAATATTGGTAGGTTCTAACTGGTGGCAGCTACTCCGTACTGCAAACATCATGAAAGTCTCGTGCCGCGCAGTCCCTCCCCTAACTTAAAATATACACTTAACCATCCTATATACTACTACTAGACTCCTCTCCCATCCACACACAATAATGTACGTACTTACAAAGTAGTAGCAATAGCCCCATCCACGGTTCGCGGCCAATTTTTCTAGAATAATAAGAATGTGGAATATTTACCCGGTATGGAATCCTCCGGAAAGAGGAGCAAAGCAAAAATACGCAGAGAATCTACTAACTATGGATCTCGCGATGCGTAGGCATCAATCAACAGGGAAAAAAAAGCTTCTATCAGAACCTCCACCATCCCCCTCCCCCTCCACCAAACGTTGCGATTTCATTTATCTGGAAGGAAACTGTCCGATTGGCCATGTTTCACCGGCCATTTGTTGTAACTTGTAAGGGCTTTGATGCGAAGGTCGCAGGCATCGCTACTACGTAGTACTACGTACGTATTCCATAGAAGAAGATACGATTCAAGTGTGTTGTTGGCCCACGATGATGATAAGATGCGGAAGATCACCGAAATCGCTAACATGACTGGTGTATATTCTTTAGGCTACTTGGTGGGTAAGTAGGACTTTAGAGTCGGACGGAAACGACCGAACGCAGTGAGCTTGCGCGTCATCTTTATAAAAATTTTTTTTATCTCGAGGCAAAAAACGACGTTGTGTGCATCCACGTAGGTAGAATAGTTTGGGAAGTGTGGCCCAGCCACTAAAGTAGGTAGGTAGGTAGATAACTAAACTACGGACCTTCCATAGACAGTGAAGTGCGTGGTGAACCTACAAAGTACCAAGGTATAGATTCCCCCCTAGAGGAAGCCGGTTCCATGGGATGACATGTTCATCCGTGGTAGGTGATTGGTAAGTAAGGTCTAGTCCACCAGGTAATTAAAGCAAATACTAACAACAATTGAGCGATGCCTAAAGGGGGCGCAACGACAATCCTCCGCTGGTCGGCGAGTGGGTTTTTTTGTTGTAAGTATGCCCATCATCCACTGCATCCATCATATTTTGCCCGAATGGGCATTTAACCCCGTATTGGGTACTTCCCGTTGACAAACAAGCATCGGTTTATCTATACCGAGCATCTTATCCCGAGAAAAGAAAAAGCTTCGCTCTTGCAATGGAGGAGAAGGCATACGTATGTTGCTTCTTTTTGCCCCGCTCATAGAGGTTCTGAACATCATGGGATCGGGGTGTGGCTAAGAAAAAGGGGGTCGGTATTGGGGCTAGGTTAGTTACTATGGTGATGATGGCCGGGGTGAGTTGTCCCATGCCGACAAGCTGATCCGGTCGGTCCCCTAGTACGGGCTTTGATGCTAAAGCTTTAGTGAGAGGATTGGGTCGTTCTAGCCGTGATATAGGGGGTAATTAGGATGGATGATTTATGGTTTGTTATGATGGATAGGGGAGAGTTATGATGTGCAGTGCTCGGCAAAAGTCTCTTATGAAGAGGGTGTATCATCCAGTCCTGGGAGTTGTAGAACGCCAAAATCATTCCGATGCTTTTGGGCCTCATTGCCACTGCTGGATGATCTGTCAAAGACAAAGTATACTCCGTCCTCGAACAATTCGATCCCAACCTCTCTACATCATAAGTTGTCATACTGGATGCGTCAGACTGGGAGACCATATTCAATCCTTATCAGGCAAAACAGTGCTAGCCGGTTCCAGCCACCCGCGTCTAGTGGCGTTAGGGAGAACGTGCTCGGTGGTAAGATTTATCGGCTACTTCATTAGTACATGCGCTTCATTACGCAGCGTCAGAAGTGAAACATCGGCAATGAAAGAGGTTGCAGCAGCTCGCCTTGGCCAAGCCGAGGTTGAAAAGTGATTATCATTTGAGAGGCAAAATCAACCAACTCCAAATATAACACCACCGCGAACAAGAAATAGGAAATCTCATCAAACTCAGTTGCAAGGGCATCTCGCGCCACTTAAGGAGCGAGATTATCTCCCAGGGCAGTCTTATTATTGCGACGGATAGTTGTGGAGTAGGGATGGGTCTGATAGCTGAAGAACTCTAAACGGATCGAGAAAGAACAAGCAATAGTGGCAGCGACCACGGCGATCGCTCTTTGCCAGGTTTTGATAATGCGCGCGGGATTCTCCTCGCAGGGAAGTAAGTAATCAATCATCCCGTTATTCCTTTTTGTGACGGGTGAAAGGATCATAACGACGGAGAATCCCTTACAGCGCATAGCCGGGTGTATACATGGAGATCTGACTGACCCTTTCTGCAACCGTTCAAGATCTGAGACTCAACTAGGAATTCGTCTCGCTTTTGAAAGTCTCAACGAGGTAGCTATAGATCATGTCATATCATGGATGTTTCGAGTCATTGCCACTATGAAATTAGCATGGGAAGAATGCGCCTATGGGCAAGCAGCTTCGGACTCTGGCTGGCCGCGCCGGGAGTGTCTATTCATCTTATCCAGCCGGCCAATTTCTATCGCGGTATGGTATGTAAGTTACAACGACTGGAAATTACAGCACCAGCACTCGGAGTACTTTGTGGCCAGGCCAAGTGGGGGCCACTAACAGTGGGTATGGGAGTTACAGCCGTGTTACGTATAGCTGTAAGACACACGTGATGCTCTCCCCCTCAGAGCCATCGATTCGCCACTTTATTATTAGCTTCCCGAGACATTGTTTTGTTATGATTCGGTATCCACCGGTACCTGAAGCCAAGACGAGAATTGAGTTTTCAGGCATGAGGTCCAGCGCATTCATCTTGGAAGTCAAAGAACAAGAACAAGAATGAGTTCAAACTGAAAACGGGGATCATGGGAGTGCCACAGAATGGACCGTTAGAACATTTACCTTTCGTTTTTGTTTTTCGCCTCAGTCGTCTGCCGTTTGCTACACACATACGTGTCAAGAGGCAAAAGCAACTCAAAGGCATCTAGGCGACCGAAATTCCAACGCGCGAACAGGGCGCTGCATACCAACGTAAGGCAGGCAAAGGACAGGACTTGTGAGGGACGGAGTCGAGTCCGCACTGGGAGGAAAAGCGGGTCCCCCTCAGATTCCAATAAATTCAGATCGACCACTATACAGCGACCGGACTCGCTAGGTGTTGTTCAATTTGATACTAGCATTCTTAGAAGCTTTGTGGTGTCACTCATACTGCTGGCGATGGAAAACAAGCTGACTTGGCTGCGGTTGAGTGGGAAAGGGATAAATAATAGGCGAGCAAAATCGATGGTGGAGCGAAGGGATAAGCCAATACCGTGTTGGCAATATGAATATATCCTCCATAGATACTCCGGAGATTCTACTGTAGATAATTAGTCGACCTCACTAGATCACACAGGCTATCGCAGGTTCAGTGAGATACATGTATAATTTGTTCCTGGTATAGGATGCTAATATTAGTCAGGACCTCCCTAGCAATGCGCGATTGGGGTCTGGCCCCTCCTAGCGGCAGGATGCTAAATTTGTCAGTATTGTTACCTGCCACAACGAATGTCCGTGATGTATCGAGTCGCATTCCATTAGAGGAGTCACCTGTCAGTTGTGGTTGACGACTTCCTGATGGTTTCAGCAGTGAGATGCTGATGTTTTGAATGGGAGGCGGGGGGGCACCAATGGATGATGCCGAGTTGTTCATAGATTTCACAAGTCAGATCGACTATTGTAGTAGTACGTATGACGTTTGAGTTGTGAATGGGAAGCCCACTTCACCATCACAAGCAGAAGAAACGGGGCCAGACTTTTTTTCGATACAGTCAAAAATACGGAGTAAAGTTGCCTGCGGGAGTGGTTAGTATCTAGTCCGATTCAAGCTGCTGCATCGGCTCGAGCAATGAATACAAGCACCAGAAGCCTATGCTTGGTATGAATGGTCAGGATTTGCTGAGAGCCTGAGAGACGGGGGAAGAAGGGGGGGGGAGGAAACGGAGCCAAAGGGAAAGCACAACGAATCAGCAGACGCATGAGCAAGAAGTTGGCCATTGGCGAGGTGTTACAGGATGGAGCAAACTAAACCAAATGGACCATTCGTTTCCAGGACCAAGATCAGGATTCCTCGATTTCTTTTTCCGCTCTCCGTTACCGTGGGCCAATCGCCCCCCCGAAGTTAATTAATTAAACCCGGACAGGCACGGTAAATTGAGTAAATTACAGGTATGAGCAGCGTTCATACACAGGTCCGGTAACGTCGCAAGGAGAGAAAGACGCCCCCCTCCCCGGTCTCAGGTCCACCAGCCTTTTCGGGGCCACGACTCCTTTCTTGCCTTGGTTTGTCCTCCCTGAAAGTCTTCCCACTTTCTTTTGAAGAAGATTTTCTTTTCCAGCCATCCAGTCCTTCTTTCCCTTTCCTCTCTCGTTTCTCTCGCTTTCCTCTGTCCTTCCCTTTCTTCTTTCCCCTTCTTCCCTTCCCCGTGCAAATCGTGCCTGCCTAACCTGCGCACTTTCTCTCGCTGAGGGTCTTCGTCCATAAAGCTTCTCCTTCGTTGAAGCTCTTCATTCACTCGCTCGCTTATTTATTGTCTCACAAGCCCCCCTTCTTCAGCTCTTACGCTGCTATCCGTGTCAACAAAGGGCCTCGCCTCGCCCCAGTCTGCATACTTAACCATCAGCCGTCATTGGTAGGTCAACCTTTTCCTTCGATTCAAGTTGCTGTCTGATCTGCTATCTTTGCGCCTGCCACAACTGGGATTGGATCTGTTGGATTGCAGTGGGAAGGACCTTGGCAGTGGCTCAGAAGCAGTCGAGGTGAACATTGGTGACTGACATTTTCTCGACTATTCAGATCCAAGTTATCCTAAGCAATGGCTTTCATCAAATACGCCCTCCCCGCTCTTGCTGCGGCCCAGGCCGCCATGGCTGCCAGTGAGTACCACCCGCGATAATCTGGATGAAGTGAGTAGTGAACGGCACTTACTGATAACAATTTAGGCTGTGGTAGCACCGACAGCACCATCACCATCTCCAGCCAGAGTGACCTTGACAGCTACGCGACCTGCACCACCCTCAAGGGTGATGTTGAGATCAGCGAGAACGCCTCTGGTGACCTCACCCTCAGCGGTGTCACCTCTATCACTGGTGGACTGAGCTGCACCGGCGGCAGCAACATCACCTCCTTCAGCTCTTCCTCCCTGAACTCCATCGGCGACACCTTCAAGCTGGACGGTCTCACTACCCTCACCACCCTCAGCTTGACCAACCTCACCAGCGTTGGCTCCATCTCCTGGACTGCTCTCCCCGAGCTGCAGTCCCTGGACTTCACCAAGGGTGTTTCCGAGGCCGGCAGTGTCACCATCACCAACACTGGTCTTACCAGCTTGGACGGTATCTCCCTTAAGACCGTCGGTACCTTCGACATCACCGAGAACACCAACCTGAAGACCGTCAACGTCAACGAGCTCACCAACGCCACTGGTCTGATCAACTTCGCTGGTAACATGGACTCCCTGCAGATTATCCTGCCCAACCTCGGCACCGGTACCAACATGACCTTCCGTAACGTCAGCGGTGTCTCCATCCCCTCCCTCGAGACTCTCAGCGGTCAGCTTGGTTTCTGGGGTAACACCTTCACCAACTTCAGCGCTGCCAACCTCACCACCACTGGTGACCTTGTCTTCGACGACAACACCAAGCTGAACAACATCAGCATGCCCGTCCTGAAGACCGTCAACGGTGGATTCCAGATTGCTCGCAACGACAAGCTTAAGTCCATCAACTTCCCCGACCTGAAGGAGGTCACTGGTGCCATTGACTTCAGCGGTGACTTCGACGAGTAAGTTTCTCCAGTTGCTTTGTTCCGATGAGACGTTCTGTTTTGCTAACTCGTGTGTCCAGGGTTTCCCTCTCTTCCCTGACCGAGGTCAAGGGTGGCTTCAACATGCAGAGCACTGGTAACTTCAGCTGCAGCGCCTTCAAGACCCTGCGTGAGAACAACGTCATCCGTGGTACCTACACCTGCAAGGCCAGCACCTCCGACCCCACCACCAGCGATGGATCCTCTGGCACCACCACCTCCACTGGCAGCAGCAGCAGCTCTTCCTCCACCAGCAGCGACAGCGCCTCCGTCATGAACGTGGCTAACATGCCCGCTCTTGGTCTTGCTGCCGTCCTCGGTGGTCTGATCCAGTACGCTCTGTAAAGGACAACTTGATACCAAACATTTGTGTGTACGCTTTTTTGAAACCCTTATCATGGTCGTGTAAAGTTGCCTAATAAGCAATTGGTTTCCTTTAATTCCAGTACTGTGCTGTTTCTTATGATAATAATTGAATATCGGTTTGCTTGAGCCAAAATTCGCACGGCGTGGCAATGTGCCTCGGGAGATGAATTGCTTTTTTATTTTTCTGTTCATTTTGAGCATGAGCATCAATTTTATTTTGAGTCGTGACAGGTGCAGCGGGTCGAGGGAGGGTGATAAATTGTACGAACCGGACACCTGGCGATTTGCGCGAGGTGGCTGGGTTTGCTGCGGTCAGGCCTCTTCTCGGCCCTGTGAGCTGTCGGATTGTGTTCTATAGACGTTCCTTTGCAGTTTACGTGTGCGTTTTGCTACATGACAGTATGTTGTTCTTACTCTATACGCTAATTCGCCGTCCATAATTGACGTATCCTATTTCTCATTCTAAATTGAGATTGCCTCCACATCCTTCTGCCTTGTTAAGTAATGTCTTGGAGTGGTTTGGAGTGGTCTGGCCTGGTCTGATGTGTGGTCCGAGGGTGACTTTGTCGGATGTACTTATGTCCTCAGTTTGCAGCAGAAATAGGGTCTCGTGCTGCCTGCTGTCTGCTGCCTGTCTGTCTGTGTGTGTCCGTCCGTCCGCCCGTCTAACTAACACCAGCAGCAGCAGCAGCAGCTGCTGCTGCTACTACTGCTACATGACCGTGGCGAACGGAAAGTTAAAGTCCGCGCAGATGACCGGCTCTTGCCTCGCCTTCCCACCTCCCGAACCAGGTGCATATGCGAGACTGACTGCATTGCTGGCCGTAAGACACCTCACTCTGAAGTGGGACTTGGGCAGTGAGCAGATACCATCTCTTCCCCCTTTGTTCTTCCTTTTCTTAGATAGTCGTATTAGCACATACTCAGATGAATATAGCCGAGCGAGTCTATCAGAGTAGAGTTTGTAGGAGTCAACGGTCTTTTCCATCCTGTCTCTCTCTTCATGACACGAGGGAAGAAAGGGTTAGCACCGATGTTGATTTACTACATCTATCATCGTGGACCTGAGGCATCGATCGTGGGTGGGATTCAAGTGCTCGTGAATGTGAGTGGGTGGGTGGGCTGATATGCCTAAGTACTGCGTACATACATATATACATACATACGGAGTACATATTTCCAGAGCTATGAGAGCCAGTCAGTGTAAGTGTGAGTGGAGATTTCCAGGAAAGCGAACTGTCGTCTGACTGAATGACTTTCTGTCTGTCTGCGTGTGAGTTCAGCTGAGCTGAGCTGAGCTGAGCTGCTTGCTTGCTTAGGTCTTTTGGGATCAAGTTTAATCTCCTATTCGGGCTGTCTGTCTGTCTGTCTGTCTGTCTTTCTTTCTGCGGGAAAGCGGATTTGCTTGGTTGGTTGGTTGTATGTATCGTAGGTAGGATCGATCTTAATCTCTCTTACTAAGTACTACTCCACTGCTGCTGCTGCTACTGCTGCTGCTGTCTCCCCATCTGTTGCGGGCCGCAGATGTGGATTTTGGAGTCGAGTCCCGGAATGGCCGGGGGTTATTGTTGTTGTTGTTGTGTTGCATTAGTAGACATGCATGCATTGGCTGGCCTATATCTCTCAATGTACGGAGTAGTACTCTGTAGATGGAGTTGGTTGGTTGTTGATATGTAGACTCTTCCAAACTTATGTGGGTGTTCAGTGTGTTTTGCATTTCCTCTTTCTACGGAGAACCCTACCCTACCCTACTCAAGTAACTTAGGCACGGCACTACTGCGCTTTATTAAGTATGTAGGTTGTTGTGTTGTGGGTGAGTGGGTAAAGTAGTTAGGTAGGTAGGTAGGTAGTAGAGAGATCGATGTGTCAATTCAGTTCGAGTGAGGAAGCATGGAAGGGGAGGATGGTCGGTGGAATTTGTGTTCTGTTTATATTTAGTAGTTAGTTAGTTGGTAATTAATTAGTAGTACTCTTGGTTCAGAGTCAGTTTATTAAGTTGATAGTTTGATAGTCAAGTTAATTAGATTACTGTTATGGATAGTTAGTGGAGAGGAAAAGTGAAAGTCTGTCAAAAGTACGGTGGACTATTTAACTCTGAGTATGATGCTCGTTTAATCTTCATGGTGGAATATACTACTGAGAGATAGTCACTGCATGTGTAGGTTATACTATCTTTCTTGCTACTTGCTGTTTCTGTTTGTGTTTGCAGTGTATAAGCAAGGTATATACATACGCGGCAGGTTTCACTTTATTTCCTCACTTTAACTTCATGCTTGACAGATAAACCTCACCTATTTAACTAGGACACTTTATTAACTGCAGTTGCATTCGCATCTGCAATTGCCTTCTGACTACCTGCCTATCTTTCTATACATCTACTGCTCATAAACAACACTGGGGCCCGGATTTGGGATCCCGGTCACCTGGCTGGCCGGATGATTTTCCCTAGCCCAACTGGTGGGTAAATAGACCCACGATAGACGGGTCTGCGATCGGATTGAATTTCCGTAGACATTTTAGATATTGAGTTGATGCTGCTATGTTACACGAACCTTTTTACACTTTTTGTTGAGGAGATAATGTTCGCAAGGGCCACATAGTGTCTGTGTGCCTACGGAAGGTCCGGTGATGGTTCGCGAACTGCGCGTGTTCACCCTTTGGGTTGGGAGCGGGGGAAGGTCAAGGCGACAACAAGGAGGCTGTAGGTTGAGGTAGCATGAATGGAAGAGGGGAATGAACTCTAAATACGATTATGGAGATGCCGTCGTACGTAGTGTACCTTTGTTTCATGTTGGTTTATCTCCGAAAGGAAAGAGGTATGTCCGTGCGGCTTTGGGGAGGGGGGAAACGAAGAGAGGGGATCGAGGTCTCGAGTGGCTCTCGAGGATCAATAGAGTAAGTGTCTAGTCTTCCTAAAATGAAGGGAGACCAGGAAAGAATGAAAGAAAACAGTAAAAAAAAAAAAAAAAGAAAAAGGACCTACCTAGTGTTGTGCGAGGCAAGAGGATGATGGAGGATGAGGATCCATATGATAGATAACCGGATAGGGGATACCTTGCATGTGTGGATGCCTCAGGTCGGCCGTCTTAGGGCTAGGGCGGACAAGAATAGCATAGCCTGAGGAATTGCCTTCGGAGATCCTCGCCTTTGCTCCCCCGTCAGTATGCAATCCTCCGTGTGTCGGTGCTACGGCTGAAGGGTCTGGAACCCGGTCTAGTGGCAATGATGAGAGCGTCAATGCTAGTAGCTGGGCTGATCAGGTGTACGAGTCCCTTGAGCCGTAAGGCAGTGGTTGAGGCAAGGTGGTGGCTATATCTGGAACCAGACTCATCATGCAGAAATAGATAATGATGGGGCCTTACAACGCAGGACGAGGTGGACGCAGCACTCCGTATGGAATAATGGAATGCCGGGAGAAGGGCGCCCCCCTGGGAGCATCTGAAACAATGGCACGAGTTGCTTGAGCCTTACTGGCGGCGGTGGTCGACTCTGGGACGGCCTTCAATATTATTCTGCATAAGGGCACTATGCAAATGCGGAAGGCAGAGAGATAGGACTTCGTGCCAGTACGTGAGCCAGTCTGGCCCGGCCAAAACCGAGTGGCAAAGGATCACATCACGGAGACAAGAATCTGATACATGAGGCGATCTTGCATCGCCGCACGCAGGGCCATCCCGGTCTCTGCTGAGATCCGTGCCATGATGGGCCACGCTAATGTACGTGTGTTCATAAGCGTATCCTCCGGAGCCCTCTCATGGGTTAACTATGTATGTACGTTCAATGAGATGCGTACGTACTACTGTAACCCGACTGGGGTTGAACGGGGCCTAATAATGTTGCACTGTAAGTGCGTTGGGGGAAGCCGGTAGTGACAGGGAAGTTGCTGTAAGCAAGTCGACAGGTAGACTAGCCCGGGTAGCTTGCGAGCCGGACGACTGGCTACCGGGTTTGGACAACGCATTGAGGGGCGCGAAGGGGTCTAGGCGGGGAGGGTCGTTGCTTCTGTGATGCATCACCTGGGGACAATGATTGGCAAAGGCGTCAGGCTCTTGCTGGGTCTTTTTGCCTCTTTACAAGCGTTCCGAGTCCAATTGAAGTGGGCGGCATGCGATCGGAAGTACTCTGAATGTTGCTGATTCTTTGTGATGCGGATGAATTTTTTTTCTCTATCCATTATGACATTTGGGAGGCTTGAGGGGGAGGGGGACCTCCAAAAGCAAAGGATTCAGTCAACTGTCAATGTGTCAGCGGCAGTCCGTGTCAGTTTTGCTGCCTCTCGACTGTTGGACCCGCCAGTCGACGCTGTGTAACCAATTCCAAATCTAGACCAAACTTAAATCACTCCTCGGCTTTCCCATTTCCTGCCAGTCAGGACGGCCTTGCACCCTATTCGAAAAAGATACCGATAATTATGGTCCTCGAGTCATCAAACCCAGGGTGACTCGGTACTATGGTCGAACCCAAATCGCGATGAACCGGTTCCCCGTACTTAGTAAATCGTGCTATGGATCTCTCATGGACACTTTAAGGTTCACTTCAGCCGCTCACTCTGCCTCTCTATTGATGGATTGCTGCCCTTCCGTCGCTGCTGGGGATTCCCTGGTTGAAACCAATAGATTGGCACTTATCGATGCTTCCAGGCCCCGATAATTCGGAAAATAAGCGAAACTTGTCAAGTGAGTGTCCTTCGGGCAATTTTCTAAGGTTTTAGTCCATGGGCCCGTGAGCCGGGGGAGCATGTAGGAGCGCAAGCACATATGCCATCTATGGACATAGGTTCAGCGAGAGTTTACGAGTGAGTTCGTGCCTGGCGTCCACTGCGTGCGAGCGATTTCTGATCGAGCAGGGGTGGTACTCTTTCAACTGGTGTCCAGTGTTTCATGACTTTGTTCTGGTGGATGTATGTACTGCCAACTCACCACTATGGAGCTTGGTACTTTGGGGCCTCCACTATGGTACTATTGGTAGTTTTGAGGGGGCAAAACCGATCGGACATACTCGTTGATATGGTCTAACAACACCATCGGCGGCAATCCTCGCTATCGCCGCGCGGCGCCGTCTGCTGAAGAAAGGGCGGCTAAGTGTAGCGATAACGTTCAAAGGCGCCATCGTCATCCTCGGCTACTAGGGCAAAGGACTTGCCTCTCCGGGAATAACGGAGTCCACCCTAACCATGTTAGTTAATTGATCATTCAACTCTCATGGCGTCCACGCCGCCCTCGGAACTTCCCCCAAGCCATTACCATATGGGAGGCTGGTAGATAGTCATCGTTTGGCGCACAAGATAATGATCGTCCACATTCCTCCTTCAACTCTCTCAACGTGGGGCGGCCTGGGCGTGGCTGGAGCTAGAAGATCCATTGTTCCTTCATCATGCCGCATCCTCAGATCCGGGGGCACCTGAATATGACAGATCTGATCCGGCCGCCGCCTTGATTGCCATCTATCAGCGAACTCGGGATAAGGTTTGTCCTGTTTGGTCGCGTTCTCCTCATATGGCTCTTGGCTTTGGTACCCCATTACTCTGTATCGCCGGCCCTCCTTTCTCCACTGACGCCCTCGGGGTCTGCTCTCTCCCAGTGAAGAGAGTCGTGTCCTTTCCCCGGGGGATCTTCCATTCACTGATTGCATTCCCGTCCACCGTACCACGGTTCCAACGAGCGGGCACTCCTCAATGTAAACCTGGAAATGGGGTTCCCTCACGCTTCTTCACGCGATAGTCTGGTGGAGTTTTCCGAAACAACTCCTCATAGCGTCTGTCTGTTGGAGACGTCCGACGGCATTCCAAATCCCCTGCCCAGGTCTAAGCCAGCCTATTGCGACGGACTACACCAAGCCTGCACCAAGAAAAGAAGCAGTCCAGAATTGGGTCTGACAGCCGTCACATCCTGGTCGCTGGGATCTCCCAGTGACCCAGGCGTATGGGCCCTTCGTCGGCTGTGGATGATCCCAACTCTGTCCGAGTTTTGACCCCTTCGTTCGGGCCCATTCGGTAATAACCTGTGCTATTATAGACAAGGCCACTCTATGATTCCAAAGCCCGGCTAAACGAGGTTCTCATGGAGACAATGGCTCTGTCGTATGCACCAAGGAGAATCGCCTCACTCGTAACCAGCGAAGACAGGTTAGAGCCGTGGAGACTCGTGACAGAATGCGGCCGCTCATTGCCTCCCATCTGACAAAGGTCGATCCATGGTCTCCTCACACAGCTCTTTCAGGTACCAGGTACTTTTGGCTTCCTTCCTAGAAGTCCTTGCTTCGTGCTATTAGGTCCTATTCCACCTCCTGCCGAAGCTATGATCTGCTTTCGGGGAACCTGCATCTGCCTGTGCATCGGATCATTATGTATAGTACATTCTTACTCTGGGCGTTCATGACCCTTTATTGGTACTTTTGCTTTTCCTGGCCAGATGCCCTCATATGGGCCGCAGGTCAAGACGAGAAAGACACAAGATCGGGCCGGGACTGCTCCCGTGGGCCTCACTTTTGCCCTCGATCCCGTGCAGACCATGTGCTATACATAGTAGTATATACGGAGGGGGGTGTGTAGTCTATAGTGGCACTGAGTCTGGGAAGATCGAGGCGATCGAGACGACTTTTGATACCCTCCAAATGGATGGCCCGGATGGCTGATCCGATCTGTTCCCTATAATTTGACGTTTAAATTTGCTTCTCCATGGCTTCAGCACCTTGTCCGGTTCGGAATTGGGCCAGTGTTCGAACTGGCCAGACGGATAAGCGCCGCAGAGCTAGTTCCCACACCTGTAACAGCCACCAGTCCGCGCTTGTCCAAACGACGGGAACGTTTTATGCCTCGACGCTATGAGTTTCGCGGATGCATCGCCGCCTGGGTCCAGGATCCGAAGTGGACACTGGGTGGACGGACCATGGCCATTGGCCCGAACAGACTATTGATGACCGCAATGCAAGGGGAGTCGATACCTTTCTTCGCCCCGTGTAGATCGAAAACCGCTGCAGCGGTGACAAATCAAGGGTCTGCGATCCCCAATCCGACTCTCCTTCTTGTTCATCGGGATCATGGCACGTTGATTCGTCGATCCGGTGCTTTGCCTCGCGTCTGTGCCCATTTCTGATAGAGCAATGTCCCATTCTGTTGGAGGGAGTACTATGGAAAGTGAAAATGAAAAGTACTAGTTGATGGGCTGTCGAACTTTGCCGGAAGCTTGTTCATGCATCCCCGCGTGTCCTCATGGGTGTGAGGGAGCAAGGGAAGCAGAAGAAGTAGGATGAGGGGGGGGGGTTGAGGGAAGAAGGATGATGAAGCAGTGGAGGCGATGACCAGAAGAGGAAGCGGCGCAGAAGGAGAAGGTCCAGATGGAGATGGAGGCTGCAGATAATCTGTAGGGGAAGCAGGGAAGTAGTAGTAGACACAAGGAATAGTATCCCAAGAAGACAAGAAATAATAATAATAATAATAATAATTAAAATAAAGTAAAAATAAAATATGAAAAATAAAAGTAAAAATAAAAAAAAGAAAAAAGAAAAATAAAAATGGAGAATCCAACGACTCCACCACCATCAAACCATCTATCTGTATGTCATCGTCGATGCTCCATTTCCTTGTTGAGGCAGTCGCAGATCGAGCTAATCCGTTTAGCTTCTGGGGAGGATCCCAAGAAAGCACTTGGTGATACATCCCGAATGCTCTCTCTCTCCCTCTTTCACACACACACTCACTACTGTTTCCGTACTATTCGCATCCTCTCAACCCTTCGCATTCCTCTTCCGATGCAGTTCATTGCCAGCTCAAACTGCACGTCTGAGCGCGCCACCACAATGGCGTCCTTTTGCTGCTCTTTCTGGTCTTTCCCCACTCCCTCCTTCGTCGACTTCCTCATCCATTGCCTCCTCCTTCCCCTCTCCTCGTTCTCACCTGCGGCTTCTAACATATAAAACATGCAGCCGGATCCTCCCGTCTTGCTCTGCCAGAAGCATTGTGTTCTTCATCATCAAATCTCAGCAGTTCCTCGTGGATTATCCTGATTGTTTCCTCTTGTCTTACTTCTATCCTTAGAAACCCCCCCTCCTCCTCTTTCCCCCCTTGATTGTATCAGCGTCATTGTTGCCACTGAACTCTCATTTACTATCATCATCCCTTGTGGTCCCTATTATTGCTCCTCCCCCTTGAAGCTTATTCTATATACTTCTTGGCTGTGTGGTTTGTTTACTTCACGCCTAATCATCCCGCGCCGGTGCAGACATACATATCAGAGACATTTCCCCTCCTGCCTGCAGTGCATACAGACAAACCTCAGACATACAGCTCTCTAGCTGCAGCGCCACGTCTTTCATCTTACCTGCAGCAAGAACCCTCAGCACCATGATGTTTGAAGACATGAACACCATGGCTGACGACATTTCTCGCCGTTCTCTCCCGTAAGTTGTCTTTGAGCCTTGCCGACAGATGCAGCATCTGACGTGACATGCTCCCCACAGTGTGCGTTCCCTCTCCAGTGCATCCAGCACGGCAGACATGAGCGAGGACCGCCGCTTGCCCCCGCTCCCCCGCGTGGAGCCCTTGCCCCGGGGCCCCTTCGACCCGTTCACTACCAACATCGGTGCCACCAGCTCTCCAAGCTCCCAGGACGCTTTCCCCGTTAGGTCGCCGTGGCCTGAAGCGGAACACATTGTGACTCCCCCATCACCAGCAACCTCCGCCGACAGTTCCTGGCCAGAGTCCGTCCAGTCCCAAAAGGCCTTTGACTGGCCGCAAGAGCTTTCCCCCGCAGAACTCCTGAACCTCATCGCCCCTAAGCACATTAACCGCAAGCCGCCGTTGCAGCAGCTCTGCGGGCGAAAGCGCAAGGAAAGCATGGTCTCTGCGGATTCAGACGACCAGAGAGAAAAGCACAGAATTGCGGAGGGAAACCGACGGAAGAACCTCAGCCAGCTACACCGTGAGCTAGACAGCCGCATCCATGACTTCTTCTTGGAGCGCGCCGGCTGGAACCCTTCCAAGAGCCTACCAGAGTCCAAGGAGCATATTGTTCAAGCTGCCATCTTCCTCATCGACTTCATGCTCCTGATCATCATCCACTTGATCCGCCAGGAGAATGAGATGCCTCGTCAACTGTCCGAGAAACTGGAGCCCCAGATCCGCTGCATGCAGCTGCAGCAGTTGGTTTCCAGTCTTCAGCAGCAGAACCAGACTGCCCAGCAGCAGATCAAAAGTCTGAAGCAAGAGAACCAGATGTTGGAGGAGCGCAACCAAGCGCTCGAGCTTCAGTTGAAGTCATACGAGCACATGTTCCGATCGCCCAAAAGCGAGCCCCTGACTTCTCAGCCGATCATTCATCACGCCGAGGCCAAGCCACGTAACATGCTCCCTGGGTTGCGGGTATTTTGCGACGAGATTGCTGCCAGCAGCCCTGAGTCCTCTCGGCTTGAGTCCCATCCCACAGCGCCAGCTTTCACTTTCGGACATACATACCTCACCCACACTCCTTCTATCACACGGTCCTCTTCGCCTGTGTTCGCACACGGACCTCACTCAGTGCCTGTATCACGGCGTCAATCCATCATCCCGTCGCCATGAATTGGTGCATCTGCCTCCTTCACGAGCACTGAGGGAACCTTGTCATGATTCTCCTTGAGTCCATTCCTAGAGTGGCTGTTGTGCAGCCCGAATTTGTTTTTCATCTCATTTAAACTGTGTTTTCTGGCATAGCGAGAGCGTTCGTCATCGACATATACTTGGGACAAGTGATGTCTCCTGCACCGTGATCTGTTTACCGTCTGATATAGAGTCCACACTGGACTTGAGCTTTCCTGCGCATCTCTCCTACCGAACACGGAAAAGGCGCAATGTGTACATCATTTGAGAGGAAGAAAAGAAGGAAAAAGGCAAAGAGCGTTTTCTAGGCATTTACGACGGATGGTTTTATTTGGTGTCTGTACAATCTTTCTTCCATGTTCATATTGGGGAAGGCTATAATTATCTTGTTCACTGGCCAGGATCTGGAGCATTGTGGCGACAGTTTTATTGGGTTGAATTTTTTCGTTTTCCGCTTTACTATACATACACGACTGATTTCGGTATTTCTTTTGTGATGTCTTTTGTTTATTTTTCAGGGTTCGGTTCCCATGGGGTGAATTTTTGTAACTATCAGCATAGAGCGAGATGACCATGAAAATATTCTTATAAATAATGAGAAAAGAAGTAAACTCAGATGGAGCACAGAGTAGTGGGTGACTCCTTCAAGCATGAGGTAGTAGACCTTCTGAAGAGTCGAGTAGATATGTCAGTACACATGTGGGTAGTAGTAGTAGTGATACATAGTGCAGCTCGGTCGTTGATTTTATGCCGTGGATGAGGGTTATGCAGCTGATTAAGGGTCTCCTTAGTCACCCGCGGCTATAAATAAAAAAGAAAAATTAAAAGCGGCGGGCCAATCCCGAAGCGGCCAACTGGACTTTGAGTCTGGCTGGAACTTCGGCGGGTCGAATCTTCCCTGTCAACCTGGAACTTCTCTTCTGTCGACGACCATTCCATTCATCTTATCCTCCCCTGGACTTCTCTGTGTCGCTTGACTGAGAACTGGTCGGATCACTTTGTGTCCTGATCGTTCATCGTCTGCTTCTCACATTCGTTTGAAACCTACTCCCTTCTTTGCTGGGGCCCTCCGGTGCCGCACCACGCTCCCGCAGCCAGCCTTTTCCCTACCCTTTTTCCTGCCCCGGGCGATCGCTGGCTTCCACACCCCCCCTTCTCCATATCGCATCATCAACTCTGACCTCCCCTGTCGACGCCTTCGATCCGTCAGATTCCAGTCTCGATTGTGTGTGATCGTCCCTGCCATTATCTACATCGCGTCGAAACCCGCTCCTTTTCCCTTCCCCGGACGGTCCGTCTCTTCCGCCGCCCGTTCTGCATCGTGTTGTCCGCTCCACGACAGATTGATCGATCTCCCTGGACTCTGGTGTCCCAGCGATAGACATCCCCCATCCCCAGAAATCGTCGCCTAGCTGTAGGCGTCGACGATTTCTGATTACGAAAAGCGAGACCATTCTGCTCGCTTTCCTGGCCAACTCATAATCTTATTTCCCCTTTTTCTCCCCCGTCGCGAAGATGTTGCTCCCCAAGGGTGGTGTAACGTGGAAGTCTGCCAAAGCACGGCTGCCTCCATGGCGGGCTGTTCTGTTCCTGGTCACACGGACCCGTTTTCTGGTCTCATTGGCCATCACTGGTCTTGTAGTCCTACTATGGCGTGGCATCAGCAAGTCAGCGTCGGAGATGCAGAGGTGAGTACCTGACTCGACGTTGACAGGGCTGCCCGCGACACCCGGTCCCTGGCAACGACTTGCAGGCACGCGACCAGAAAACGCTAACGGCTGCATGTAGCTTCTACTGCTATGGCCCTTCAAAATCGCCGATGGAAATGAGCATCAACGAAATGGTCGAGTGGACCGCGCACACACAGACCCCTGTCCTCTTCAACCATCACGCTGCCTACGAAGTGAACTCCTCGAGCATCAAGACCGTCGACCTCAACCCCATCAAGTCTACCTCCCAGGCCATCTCGAATTCTGAGCGGGTGCTCATCCTCACCCCTCTGAGAGACGCATCCGAACATCTGGTCAACTACTTCGATCTCCTCTACAAGCTGACGTACCCTCACAACCTCATTGACCTGGCTTTCCTCGTTGGTGATTGCAGTGACGACACCATGGCTGTTCTTACCGCCGAGCTGTCCCGGATCCAGGACCAGGTGGATGAGAAGATTGCTTTCCGTAGCGCGACAATTGTGCAGAAGGACTTTGGGGCTGATGTCGAGATGAACGTCGAGGACAGGCACTCCTTTGCTGCTCAAGGCCCGCGTCGCAAGGCTATCGGTCGCGCCCGCAACTACCTGCTCTACTCGGCTCTCAAGCCTGATCACTCTTGGGTCTACTGGAGAGATGTTGACATCTTCGACAGCCCTGATAGCATCATTGAAGATTTCATTGCTCACGACAGGGATATACTGGTTCCAAGTACGTTGCAACACCTCTATGACTACCACGTTTCAAGGTGCTAACCCCGTCGCAGACATCTGGTTCCATCGCTACCGGGATGGTGTTGATGTCGAAGGTCGATGTATGTATACAAACTTCCCTTCACAATCCTCGCATTGCTAATTCTTGCAGTTGACTACAACTCGTGGATCGAATCGGACAAGGGACGCCGGCTTCGGCAGACTCTTGACCCGGATACTGTTCTGGCTGAAGGCTACAAGGAATACGACACTGGCCGGACTTACCTGGTTGGCATGGGTGACTGGAGAAAGAACAAGGATGAGGAAGTTGAGCTCGACGGTATCGGCGGTGTCAACATCCTCGTGAAGGCTGATGTTCACCGGACTGGCATCAACTTCCCGGCCTACGCTTTCGAGAATCAGGCTGAAACCGAGGGATTCGCCCGCATGGCCAAGCGTGCTGGTTACCAGGTGTACGGTCTTCCGAACTATGTCGTCTGGCACATTGACACGGATGAGAAGCCTGGCAACCTCGGAGGCCGCAAGGCATACTAGCTGCATTCCTGAGTTGATTCTCATTTCCCCGCAGTTTGAGTGGTACACCTACTGCCACATCTCATCCTTTGACGCCTGAATACCCCGTTCCCGTGTACATCCGAGCCCTTGCAGCGGTTCTTTGCATGGAGGCTTTCCTCTTAACGCTTTTATTGAATCCTTTTTCTTCAATTTTTTCCTTTTTATCTTTCGTGATTGCATTTCTTCGGACGCGGGGACGGATATCTCACGACGCCGGTAATTAAGTCTTTCTTTGTATTGCGTGCTAGGGTTATGTCTGATTTTGTTGGCGCTACGGGGACAGTGTTCAGCGGTATTGGAAGCTCATAGAGAGCGAGTGAGCGGGCTCTGGTTGGAGCCTACGTTGTTCTTCCAGGCCCAAGCCATGGGCTCCTTTCACCGGCATGGTGCTCTGAAGCTATTGCTCATCTCGCGGGGTCTGCTTGACGCATCATCCGCAGTTAGAGCAGTTGACCGTATTTGGGATGAGCTATACCGTAGCTCAGGGAGGTCGATGAAAGAGGCAGATGAACAGGGCCATGGTGCTTGGCGTCCATGTACATACATATATAGGCTACAATCTGGTGGGCTTGTTATGATTGTAAAACCGATAAGCTAGTAGCGGTAGTAGGAACGTAAGAGTAGTCATAAGTCTTAATAGTAGGAATAGTCGGTGATCCACCGGATAAGTGCTGCTCCTGCTCCCCACATTTTCCCCGCTTCCACTTCCCGCCATCGGATCTCTCGTCTTGCCGGACTTTTCCCTCAGTTTTCCCTCTCACCACTCTTTACACCTTTCTGGTTGCGTATCATTAAAGACGAAAACATAAACACCATGCCTGCCAAGAACGAATTTCTCTGCATCCTCCCGGACAAGCCGGGAATGATGGCCAAGCGACTGGAAGTTCGCCCGTAAGAACTACCCCTCACCTGTTCATTCTAGTCCTCAACACTGACAACACCGGCTTCACCGAACAGTCAACACTTGGAAGGAGTCAAGCCCCTCGTCGAAGCCGGCTCTGTGGTTGCGGGAGGTACATCATAGTTGCCACACTCCCTGTTTTCTTCTGCTTCTCCGTTACTGACTTCTTCACCCACCCAAGGCGCAATGCTCGACAAGCACCCCGCAGAAGGCGAATCCATGTCCTTCCAAGGAAGCATGATGATGGTGTTGGCGGAGACCAAGGAGGAAGCCGAGGCGCTCCTCAGGAATGATATCTACACGAAGAGTGGAGTGTGGGACATGGACAAGGCGCAGATTATTCCGGTTTGTGTTTATTCCCTGCTTCTGCCTCCCTCCCCTTTTGGTAGGGGCATTATCATGCGTACCTTTTTACTGACATGTGGGCGGTTATAGTTCAAGTCTGCCGTTCGGTTGGCATTGTAGATCTTCTTTTCCGTTCCTGTCACATATCACATTCTATGGTATATATGAATGACTCAGTTTATTGCATAGCGAAAGTGATAGTACCTTTGGTTATTGATACTATTGGAGTAAGTGGGTTTATTTATTCATGCAATGCTTTGCGTGTGGCTAGTGCAAGGTAGGACAGCGCAACAATAGTACGTGCTTGCGGTGGCAGCACGCATTTGCACTATGAAGTGACTGGTCATGTTGAGTTCGGCAGTCATCGTGCCTTTCAGGGGTCGAGTCTGGGAACTTGCATGTGCAGGACTAGTCCAAGACTGGGGCACGATGCTCCATGGGCCGTGTCCCCGGCTGTCTACTTACAGAAGGACATGGTCATGTTCTGCGCCATGTGTTGCTCATTGTAATGCGTCATATCGTCCGGATGCTACCCTGTTGAGCTGAGATGGCTGAAGTTCGTCCTCAGCCGGTGTTTGCTCGGCCACGCTTACGTGACGCAGGTTTTAGGTTTGGGAGTATACATGAGGAAGGATGTGATTTGAGCCTCCAGTTTAAAGGCTGCTGGCAACTTGTTTCTCCGTGATTGGATCCAAACCTAATCTTGACGATCAACAGCATACTCATTATATCGTCACAATCAAGATACTAGCCGGATGGATGTGACGAGCCTTGCATGTCACACTTCTCTTGATTTGCCTCCCGATGATAAAGAGAGTGTCCTCGGCGCAAGATACAAAAAGCGAATATACCTACGACACTACCATATGTTGAAAATCTCAGTGAAGCGGCCAAGAACTGAACGAGCCAGTGCTACATTCGTACTCCAAGCCGACAGTACTTCATCGCGCACACAAAGAAGGCTGATCTTGCGTCACCCTTGATAAACTTGACTGCGGCGATGCATGCACCCACAGGTGTGCATTCCTACAGGCGGAGAGCATGTACACGTAACCCAGAACTAACAAACGTGGCAGATACCTGAATATGTGACGCCGTTACAGCATCTAAAAACTAAAACTGTCAAGTCGTGCAACCAAAGCATCAGTATACTCAAGACCTCATCATGCCGTCCAACGAGAGTCAACCACAGGTAGGCAATAACGCCGTACTTCACAACATCAATCCCAACTATACGGGCTTCGACCACATCAGATGGTATGTCGGGAATGCCCGTCAAGCAGCGACCTACTTCGTCGCCCAATTTGGCTTCCGCATCGTTGCCTACCGCGGACCAGAAACGGGCTCCCACCTAAGCTGTTCGTACGTTGTCACCAACGGAAACGCCCGATTCGTTCTCACAGCTCCCATCACCTCTCCCAACAACACGTGGGACAAGCGGGCCTCAGGCGCAGACCGTCAGCAGTTGGATGAGATCCATGCACACCTCACCAAGCACGGCGATGGCGTCAAAGACGTTGCGTTCGCCGTCGACGATGTCACTGGCGTTTGGGAACACGCCATCCAGCACGGTGCCATCTCCATCCAGGAGCCACAACTCCTCAAAGATGACAGCGGCGAGGTCCGTTCCGCCACGATCCAGACCTACGGCGACACAGCACATACGCTGATCAACAGATCCGCGTATCAAGGGATCTTCCTCCCCGGATACCAAGCCGTATCCGGCCAGGATCGACTGAACGATCTACTTCCCGAGATTGACGTGATCGAAATCGACCACTGCGTGGGCAATCAAGGCTGGAATGGCCTAGACAGCATCGTGAAGTAGTAAGCATTACCTCCCATCCCCATAACACCTTTCATACTATACACTAACACAACCACCAGCTACGAAGACGCCCTAAACTTCCACCGCTACTGGACCGTCGACGACAAAGCAATGTGCTCCGAATACTCCGCAATGCGCTCCATCGTAATGGCCTCGCCCAACGAAATCATAAAAATGCCCATGAACGAGCCCGCCACCGGTCTCAAAAAGTCCCAAATAGAGGAGTACGCCCTCCCCTCCCCCCCCCCCCCCCCCCCTCCCCAAACTTTCCCTTTCATTCTCCCCAACAACAACAACCCCCTCCCTCCCAGGGGACTATCGATTGACATTCGCCAGATTCGTAGAATACTACAACGGCCCGGGCTGCCAACACATCGCCCTCCTCACCCCGAACATCATTCAAGCCGTAACGAACCTCACCACCCGCGGCGTATCCTTCCTCTCCGTCCCCGACACCTACTACGCTAACATGCGCACGCGCCTCGCATCCGCGAACATAACCTTAGCCGAAGACATCAACCTTCTCCAGAAATATAATATATTGATTGATTTCGATGAGGGTGGGTATTTGCTGCAGATTTTCACGAAGCATGTGGTGGATCGCCCGACGGTGTTTTTGGAGATTATTCAGAGAGAGGGGTTTGATGGCTTCGGGGCCGGGAATTTTAGGAGTTTGTTTGAGGCGTTTGAGAGGGAGCAGGAGGGGAGAGGGAATTTGTAGGTATTCTTTGATTGATTGATTGTTAGGTTGGTTGGTTGGCTAGATGGGAATTAGGGACTAGGGTAGAAGGGAGTAGTTGCTGCTGTCTTTTAACTATTATAGAATACTAAATCAGGAATGGGTTGCTTTATAGTAATTTTGTCAACACTTCATGTAGTTACGTAAGTGTCTTGTGGCTCATGTACTCCGATTCAACTAAGGTAAGAAAGGAATACGGCTAATCTAGGTAGATTATCTTCGCGTCACTATAGAAGTAGAAGAAGATGGTCAAGAACTTCGATACAAGCTAGCTCAACCATCTTATGACAAAAGATACAACATCCATACCATTCCGCCAATATCCATTCCATTCCCCATTCCCATCCCTGAACGCCGTCCCTATGAATAGATATAACGCATTGTAAGAATACCGAGACTAGACCTTATCATAAATGATACTGTAATATAGCAGCATATCATCACTGCTGCTGCTGCGGCTGTTGCGGCGGCGCTGGCGCAGCAGCACCACCCGGGGTAATCTTAGGTCGTTTCGGGTCGTTCTCAACGCCTACCGGTGGAGCAGGCCCGCTGCCGCCACTCGGGTTCGAGGCATTCGTCACATCAGACAAGGGAGGTCGTTTTCCGTTCATGTTCTGCGGGGCAAGACCCGGTGTAGATGCACGATTGGCGGCCGCAGCTGCGCCCGGGGCATTGATGTTGGGCCGTGTTAAGGGCCGGTAAGATGATGTGGTCATAGGTCTGCTCATGGGGCTGTTCATACCAGGGGCACCGATCCTGCGGTTCATATCTTGAGATGGGTTGACGAAGTCTCGGGAGTTGTTTGTTGCTGGGGAGGCGGCGCCAGTTCCGGCGAGCATGGGTCTAGAGACTGGAAGGCTCTTGTTGTGGTCGATGCCTGCGGTCTTGCGGATTGAGGGACTCTCCGCGTGTGGGTCGAAGACTGGGGCTCCGGATGGGATCCCGTTGGGGTTGTCGCGGAGGAGGTCGACTGCGCGAGCTGAGAAGAATGATGCGGAGGGCGTGCCGGGAAATGTGTCTTGGGGTTTGGGGGGTTCGTTGGTGGTGGGTGCCCCGAATTCACGTTTGATAGGCACGGCACCGCTTATGTTTGATGCGGCGGCACCTGCTTGTGCTGGTGGGACCATCCGGTTGTTGGGGAGGTTTTGCTGGGGAGCTTGAGGAGGCATGGATTGTCGTTGAGGTGCGGGCTGGTTTTGGGCTGCGGAAGGGTTGAGTCTGCTGTTAAAGGGCTGAGCGGGATTTTGTCTGGCACCAGGTGCTGGGTTGGAGGGCCGTTCCGGCTTGGATGGCGTTACCATGGCTGGGTTGGGCCTCATTGGTGCACGAGCGTTGTTGTTGAATGGCTGTCGAGGTACGTTGGGCCCGTTTAAAGGCGTCGGTGGTTGCTTCTGTGTTTCTGGTCCTAGTACTACCTCGTCTGGGTTGCCGGATCCGCCTACCCCAAAGTCGGCTTCATCGAATAGGTCACCTAAGGACAAGGTTAGCGGTTGTAAACGATCGTGACATGCCATTGTACTTACTTCCGAACTCCCCGTCGCCATCGAATGCCATTGAGTCGTCGAGGCTACTGTTCTTGCCAACGTCCGTTGGTCGAGGTGGTAGATCATCGTCTTCGGGACTGGGCTTTGGCTTTACGGGTTCTTTCCTGGGAACAAAGTCTGGGTGACGGTGCAGCTCGTCGACATCCCATTTAGCCTAGGGCGTGTCAGTGCCGTGAATAGAATGCCCGCATAATGACCACATACCGGTACAGTCTTCACCTTGGTGACCTTCGAGACATAGTCCTTGTCGTAGACACAGTTGCCCAGGACATTGCCGAAGTTCCTCAGAGCCCGCTTTAGAGCATCGGTTGTCCCCTCTTTCTTAGCCTTCTCGAAAGCAGCAGCCTTTCCTTTACAGTTCTCGATGTGACCGTAACCGATATCCTGATACCAGTCGAAGCTTAGCGTCAATGTCCAGGCAAGCTCGCTGCAACACAGTGATGCCTACCTCGTGATATGTGCCGTCTTTCAGAGTCACCCTCACAATGACAGATAGACCCAGGCTGATCTTCCCAGTGTTCGGGCTCTCCTCGACGAAATCAATCTGAATGTTCTGAATTGAGCTTGACCAGCCATTGAACCCGAAAACTTCATTTGCCAGGTTGATGCATTTATCAGCCGACAGGTAGTGTACTCTCTGTCCCGCAGCCCCAGGCCTGGAAGAGATGTATTCGGGACCGAGCTTCTTATCGAGACGAGCTTGCAAAGTCGCGATTTCCTGGGCAGTGTACTCATTAATTCGTCGCTGTGGCTCTTCGAATGGATTCGCGGTGATCGCTCCAGTGGAGTTGGGCATCATGATGGACGCTGGATTCCCTCGGTGCTGGTCGCCAACACTGGAGACGCGGTTAACCTTTTGAGGCGAATGAGGGAGGAGGAGAAACGGGGCCACCGAGTTTACTTACGCGGGCATTATTATAGTAAGGATACTGATTTATCAGACTGGGCGGTCATTGAAAGCCGCCAGTGGGACAGTTAATCAGTAAATGACAGTCAAACATGCTAGCTCTAGGCGTGTCGACGCGTGATCGATGCCGACACGCCTTATCACGTCATCACGTGATGATATAGCTGCCTGTAATGTATCACTCATGGAATGACTGCCTAACCTACTGGAATTAAAGTCAGGAGGTCCAGAATCGATAAGGTAAATTCTTAGCTAGATTTATGCTTATGATTATTTCGGTTACTTCTCAGCTTCCGTGCTGTGCTAATGCGATGCTGGCATTCTATAACATTCTTCATGCGAGCCTTGCTTTTAAGGCACAAACAAAATCATTACGAACCTCATCACCACTTATTTGGTGATTTGTTGGATATCGTCATTTAAGCTCTAGATTGGCTCCGCTAAAAAGCACCATATAGGCGCAATCACTGGACAACAAGACTTGCGCTAGGGATCAGGCCCAGGTCCTTCAGGGACTCGCCGAAATACTCCGCATCGAAGACCTTCCGGGGAAAGTTCTGCGCAAAGCTGTGTACTTCTATTCCGTCCTCCCGCTGCAGAGCTGCAGCGACCTCAAAGAGCGTGGTAGTCACTGGGAGAGTCTTCATGATATTTCCCTTCGATGTCTGGAATCTCAAGCGGGTTTCCGTATAGGCCGAAGCGGGCTTCGAGGCCACGGGACCAGACGTGGTGGCCGCCGGGGCTGGTGCAGGCTGAGCAGGGGGTGCTACACCGGCACGTTCAGCCCTCTCTCGTTCAGCCCGCAGGCGCCGCTCTTCCTTGTCAGCTTCAATCCTAGCCTTGACGCGTTTCTTGGCCTCGATGTCTGCTAGCTTCTCTTTCTTCTTCTGTTCAGCTTCTTTCAGCGCTTGCTTTCGCTGGAGTTCTTCTTTAACGTCCTGGGAGTCCTTGGTGGCCTTCCTGCGGATTTCCTGGGATATGATTAGCAATTAAACTCCAATCGTAGTCGAAACCATCCGTACCTCATTCCTCTTCTTGTCAATCTTGTCCTGCTCTGACTGTCCCGCCCGCTTTTCCGCTAGTTTCTGTCTAAGCTCTTCGAGCCTTGCCTTCTTTTGGTCTTCAGTCAAAGGAGCAAGCTCTTCGGTTGATTCGGAGAAGTCAACGTGTTGGGATTTAGACGCGTGAAACTCCGCCTGTGCATGGCTCCGGAACTTCTTGCCACACTCGTTGCACACCAAGCTGCGAGCTTCCTCTCCCGGCTGAAGTGCAGGGCCCTCCTCGCTCTCCTCTTCTTTAATTTCCTCCAGTGACTTATCCTGGTTTGCTTCCAGCCATTCGAGAGCACCTTGAACTGCAAAGCGTTACAGAAGACTGTCAGCGGTCGACACACTGTAGCTGGGCTTGAGAGTAACATACTGCCGTTGCCCTTCTTCACTGCAATTTCTGATCTTTCCTTGTCAAAGCCCATTTCAATGAGCTGGTCCAGATCGGAAGAGGCCATGGTGACACTGCCTGTGAATTCGGAGAGGGTGAGGTGGTGGTAGAGTCTCAAGAGCGGGGTAAAGGGATCGTTTTTGCTCGGTAACCGACAGGTCGAGTTGTAAATATGATATCGCCCGGAGTTGATGAAAACTATAGACAAATATGGCGCCTTGAGAAAGCGACGATAGAGTGGGGAAATGTTTGAGCGTTGGGAAGAGCTGGGCTCGCGGGTGACGTATCGATAGCTTGAGCTGAGTGATAGATGGCCGGCTGCGGAATGTCCCGCCGCCCAGATAGGCCGCCCCCAAGCGGCATCAGGTACACCAATGTTCTGGACCTTTCCAGCCTTTCTCTGGAGCTCGGACAGCTGGAGAAGGTCTACATGTTTCTCTTTTGCCAGTCACTGTCTGTGGACATTTGTGAATCCAGTTCAGGATTGATATTATGTCCAAAGTCCTACAATCGAGCGCGTGCGGGCTGGAATAAGATAGCAAATCGCACCCAGGACACTACTCGCACAGAAGTAGTTCTACAATTCAGGATCATATGAAGACCGTTGTACTTTTACAGCGCTTATGTTAGCTCCAATAAGACAAAACGCCCTATGAATATCTGGATGCACGAGTCGCAGCTGATGTCTCGATCGTGCAGGATTTGTAAAACACTCACTTGCCCGTCATCTTTAAACGATGTATCGCCAGTGATCAAGAAGAAGCTGTGGTTAGCTGCCAATCATTCGGCTTGGCTAGTCTGCCGACAGAGCCGACCTATGATGCGACTCTGAAAATGCCTCAACAGGCCCCGAGAAACAATAGAGCAGACAGTATAAGTTAGATCGACCAATGGGCTCCGCAAGATATGTGATATTGGCGCCTGACAGCCGTCATAAACCAATCTGGGAGATTGGGTACCTATGGCTTCTTGGTTGCATGGTGTCTGGCGAACAACAGCTATGCAGCACGATCGGCGCAAATCCTGGAAAGTAAGCGCATAGGGCGCCCCGGATCGAGGATCACTGTTGGCATTAGAGCCCACTTCAGCATTTAAGTTTGGTACCCATGAAATTTGCTAATCTTCAAAAGTTCGGTGTGATGGCGTGCCTGGTTAGAGCTGTACAGTAAACGAACCGACAAGATAGCCTCGTATTGAGTCACTGAATAGAGTCGTGATTCAAGATTGACCAGCTGGCAAAAGTGTTTGGAAAGAGGGAATCACCCTATTGCAATGTGACAACTGGAAAATCTCCGTTTCAAACTAAAAAGAAAAGAAGGCTAATGGTATGCAAGACATCCGCCCATCTCTAGAGATAGTGGACACTTAGCTCGAACCATTTGATTGATTATTTTTAGACGATGTCATTATAGTGGATCCCGAGTCAGGACCCAGAACCGACAGGAGTACTCCGTAGTAAATAAGGTACGGAGCAAATGGAGAGTGGATGGAGTCTAGACAATGGAAGCCGACAGCGACCGCAGTGAGCGTTGTTCGGCAGTAGCCCGTCTCTGGTTTCTGAAGACAGCAAGCAGAGATGGAGAGGATGCAGATTGCCGGCACTCCTGCAGGTACTTTGCTGGCTTGAAACGAGGCTCAAACGGCCATTGCCAGACCCCGTGATGACATCACCTGACCAGTGCCCCCGTGGCCGTAGCTGAGTCAGCACCCCGGTCCAACCAGCAGTTGCGACGGCGAGACCAACTGGATTCCGTCTCGCTCCCCCCGAAACGGAGAGTTGCGCCTGAACAGTTAATCATTCTGCCTCGTGGTTGGCATCCACTTTGTTGTTGACTACTTCTGACCGAGTTCCCTCCTTATCATCCAGTCTTCGTTAGGTATCTATTTCTTCGGCGGGTCCTGCTGCTGTCCTCCCTCGCGACTGATCCTCTTTCCTCGGCGCACTCTCATTCTAACTTTCTAAGGGCCACCCTCTCCCGCACTGCTGGGACCATCTTCTGTACACTACTCCATCCGCGCATCCCTTTCCTTCCTGTGTGACATACTCTTCACCCTCTATCCAACATGTCTATTATTCTCGAGCCCCCCGAGTTGGGATTCAAGCGTACGTGGTGCCCTGAATCTATCTATATACTGCCCTCCTGAAACTATCCGAAGCTGACTAAATCCCCAGGCCCCTTCGATCGTGAGGTGTGCCAGATCTTGCACCTGAAGAATGACAACGCTGAGCCGGTGGTCTTCAAGGTTCGTTATATCGACTTCCCTGAACATCTCTGATTTGCCTTAACTAACAACGACTTTCCCTCCAGGTTAAAACGACTGCCCCTAAACAGTACGTGGCCACACCCCTTCGTCACTCGACATACTACTAGTAGTATCGTTGTAACAACGGTCTAACATGGAATAGCTACTGTGTTCGCCCGAACTCGGGCCGGATAGACCCTGGAAAGAATGTCGACGTTCAAGGTTGGTTTAACGGTGTTTCGTTGGATTGGTGACGTTGCGCAATGTCTGACGGTCTTGATAGTTCTGCTCCAGGCCATGAAGGAAGAACCCGCAGATGATGCCAAGTGCAAGGACAAGTTCCTAGTCCAGACTGTTGCCGTCACTCGTGATATGGAGTTCGCCAATGTTACTTCTATTGTAAGTGTGATTTTATGGTGGTCCCCACCGGTTGCGATCTAACATAACCCATAGTTCGAGAAATCTTCCAAGGCCTCGCTTCAAGAACGCAAGATCCGTGTGAACTGGCTGCCTGCAGATGATTCCTCAGCTGCCGAACAAGTCACCGAAACGAATGGCGTAAGTAACCCCTCACCGACCCCTTTTCGGATCTCCAGCCATCGGATAACTAATTGATCTATTCAGACTATGCCGGAAGAAGAACCCCCAGCCTACACCTCTCCTAATGCAAACTTCCAGACACCTGCTGCAGCAGTTGCTAAAAGCGCTAACGACACGTCACCGATCCCACCGCCAGATTTCAGCGATAAGCCCAAGCGGGAAGTGTCGACCCCACAAGCGATTGCTGAGAGCCCAGCCACGTCTACAAAGTCGGCCATGATGGGCGGGGCAGCAAGTTCAAGCGATGATCTGAAAGCCCAATTGTCCGAGGCTAATGCTCAGATTTTGGCGCTGAAGGAGAAGCTGGCAGATCAGGGCCTGAGGCAGCGGAAGATCGGAGGTGAAACCGAAAAGGCGCCGGCGCCATTGGTGCAGCAACAGCCGCAATCTGCCGAGGCAGGCGTGCCAGTGCAGATGGTCGCTGGCTTGTGTCTCCTCAGCTTCCTGATCGCATACTTCTTCTTTTAATTTCCCAGTCTTTTGAGTCGTCTTCTTTGTGCTCCGCGCTCGCTTGCTCTTCTTTTTTCTTAGCATCTTTTACCCGCCATCCGCTTCTATCGACCAACTGTATTCTCTTCTGGAGTGTCCAATTTCCTTCAACAGCTTTGTCGACATCGGCAATGCTGGTATCCATGTGATACCTACTATTTTATCATTTTGCCGCTCCGTTCACAGCTGGCTTATCTGGCACCTCGGTACGGCCTTTCACTTGACATTTTCTTTTCTTTTCCTTTTTTTTTTTTTTTTTTTTCCATTCCATTTTTTATTACCACAACCTTTACCCCAGTGTCCGAAAAATGCTCCCGGCGGCTGTGATGAGATGATGCAGTAGATGGGAGGCAGGGGTGGCTCTATCCGTTCCATGGAATGACCATGCGTGGGCCCATCTTCTCTGCCCTTGCAACTTTTCAATTGGTCGGATGCCTTAACCCCTGACTCTATCCCAGCGTTTCTTCTCTTCCTTTTATTATTCTTTTGTCTCCCTTTTCAAAGTCTCCTTGCCCAGTCTTGTGTTCCCAGCGACATAACCGTTTAGACGAATGCACGCGTCCATAGTTTCAGTCAGTCAGGCAGTAAAGCTAATCATGATGATGCCATTGAAATGTCTATTGCATTGCTCGTTTTTGTGTACTTGTATGTCGGAAAAGTTGTCTCAGCGATGAAAACACAACAAATGATTAATTGATTTTCGCATACTGATAAAGTAACTATACACAATCTAAATCATAATCAACTATGTCACATGTACTTTGTCAAATAAGTAGATAAATAGATGACATCATCATGTCAAGTAAATAAAATCAATCAATCGATCCCCAGCATATAATCGACAGCAGGTACCAGCACCAGAACAGTCGATTAGTTCATCATGGAAACAACAAAGCCATGGGATATCATCTCTAGTATAGTATGTCACAGGTCATCAAAACAAAACAATCAAACAATCGATACCGTCCACACGGTACACATGATACATACAACATGTAGTAGAGAAAAACAGACGATATTCCAATTCAATTCTGAATCTCACTCTCCTTCCACCCATCTCCCGATTCCCCCTCCGGACCAGCCGACGAAGCCGAGATGCTTTCACCCGCGCGTCCGCCGCCACCACCGACGAGACGACCGCCCTGCGCACGCTTAACCCGACACCACATGCCGACGTTCTTATCTAGAATGAACGTCCAGATCACCCATACCCAGCTGTGATGGCAGGGGAGAGGTTCATAGAATTCGCTAGCGATGCGGTGGAGCTCGTGCAATCTTGTCCAGGGGATCGCGGGGAAGTCGTGGTGCTCGTTATGCAGGCCCACGTTGTAGGTGAAGAAGTTGAGGGGGCCGTAGTAGGAGTAGGTTTCCGGTGGGGGAAGAGAGTCAAGAGGGTGGGGCTTCTTCTGGTTATTCTTTTGCTCTTGGATGGATTCGGTGCCGTGGCCAACTTGGGAGAAGAAGTAGTGCTCTGCGATGAAGTGGCCGGCGCAGGGGTGGAGAGAGCCGGCGAGGAAGGAGCTCAGGAGGAGGTAGAGGAGGGGTTGGAGGGAGCCGCCGCAGAACTTGGTCAGGGCGTAGTCGAAGGTGAGCTGGGTGATTAGGTTCAGGACGTGGATGGAGGTGAAGGGAGGGCTGTAGATGAACATGGGGCGGACGGCGTAGAAGAAGATCTGGAAGGTGCAGAAGAAGGCCTTGCCGAGGAGAGAGTCGAGGAGGAAGGCTTCGACGGCA